GCACGGGTTGAACAACAGGTGAAAAGACATAGCCACACCTTGTGTTGTTCTGTTGTACCATTGGTCTTGACAAATAATGGACCTGCAAAGTCTACTCCGACATAGGCGAATGGTGGCGATTTCTGAACTCTGAAGTCAGGTAGTGGTGGCGTTGATGGAGGTTGATACGGCTTACCTTCATATTTTCGACAGGTTACACATTGATGAATAAGTTTTCTGACGTACTGTCGTCCCCGAATTATCCAATAGTTTGATCTCAGCTCAGTTAACGTTTCTTTAATACCATTGTGTAAAACCTTTTTCTGGCAGCTGATGACGACTAGACTTGTAAAATAATGACTGGGGTCTAACAGAGCAGGAAATTTGCAAGAAATGGTAAGTTGTGAGTTTCCCAGTCTGCCTCTACATCTTAGAACACCCTTATCGTCTTCATAAACATCTAGTTGTCGTTTCCATGTCTCAAAATTCGAATGATTGACTAGTTGGCCTTGAACTTCCTTAATCCATAATGCCTGCGCTTCTGATACATACTGACTAAATGACTTATTGACAGGAACTTTGTTAAATCTGGACTTTAAAATATTGACAAACTTCAATACATTTGCTGTTACTCTAAGTAGACGATGAAGATTACTATAATCTTGACAACTAATAACATTGGCGATACCATAATTCTCGACTGCTACCATTACAGACTCCACTTGACCCTTAATGTTATTTCTATCCTTGACCTTCATTTCAATCAAACATTCTTCAGGTAGGTCAAGATCCTCATTTGAATATGGCATAGATTCTTCAAAGTTGATCAACCACTCTGGACCCTTAATCCACAGGGAATTATTGACAAATTCGAAAGGGTTCATTCCCCTGGAAGAAATATCCGCTGGATTCTGTAACCCTGGACAATGATTAAATGAGCTGGCTGACACCAGTTTTCATATTTCCTCTACTCTATTTTGTATAAATTGCTTCCATTCTCTCTCTTCATGACGAATCCAGTAATAGGCAACCTTTGAATTTGTCCAGCATTGTATACCATCTATTTGTAATTCACACTCTAAAGCCTTCTGGATGGTGTTGACTAGTCTGGCTAAGATTAAGGCTGAGAGAAGTTCCAATCTTGGAATGGTCTGCGAGTTGACTGGAGCAATTCTGGTTTTCGATGACAGGAAGCGGACATAGATTGAGGTAGTTGTGTATGCTTCAGACGATGAATCGCAGTATCCATGGAGATGACATGAAATAATTGGTTCCTGAATATTCTGGAAATAACATCTGCTGACTAAAATTGGCTTCATGTTTCTGGCTGATTCTATCAATCTTCTCCATTTAGAAAGGTGTTCTTCTTCCAATATATCATCCCATCTAACTCCACATTTACATAAATCTTGAAAGAGCAGTTTAAACTGGACTATAAAAGGTGACAGGAAACCTATAGGATCATAGAATTTGGACGAAACGCTGACCAACAATCTCTTTGTTGGAACTATATTCTGAGCCAGTTGAAGAACTTCTGACCAGTCAATGACGAAATTATCCTGAATGAAATTCCATTTGATTCCCAATATCTTTTGATCTTCATTTGACGTAGAATTTCCCAATATAAACTTAGTATATGTTTCATCTTCTTCATGGATAGGAGAGGAAGTGATGTTCTGATTTCCTGGATGCATTCTTGACTCATTTACCTGTATTCTCTCCCTTAAATCGGACGAATTGGTGACAAATTTTCTCAAATTGAACCCACCAGTGGCGAACCTTTCCTTCGCATCTTCATAAAGCTGATAGGTGGTTTCGACATCATCGGAACCAGTGCTTAGGTCATCAACATATATAGACCTCAAAACATTCTTGACGAATTCTGGATTGGTTTCCATAAACTGTTCAATATGATACCTGACTGTTGCATTAAGGAGAAAGGGGCTTGAAGACACCCCAAACATTACTCTGGTAAATCTGTAGACCGTAAAATTTGGATTCTCATCTTCAGGATTATCAAACCAAAGAAAACGCAGGACATCTCTATCCTTTGGTGCTACTGATACCATTAAAAAGGCCTTTTCTATGTCCCCTGCAAGGGCTATACGATGAACTCTAAATCTCAACAGGATGTCTAGTATATTCTCTGTAAGTGGTGGCCCAGCAAGTAAACAATCATTGAGTGATGGCAAATCTGGTTGCTGCTTAGAAGAAGCGTCGTAGACAATACGTAATTTGGTAGTTGTTTTATCTCTTCGAATTACTGGGTGATGTGGCACGAAATAAATCTTTCCTGGTTGACCTTGGCTTGGATCTTCTACCTTCTCTACTATCCCTTGATTAATCTGATCCACCATGACTTGATTATACTCTTGAAGTAAATTTTCTCTTTTCAATTTTCTCAATAAATTTTTCAATCTTCCCAGGCTCAATTCAAAATTATCAGGTAGACGTGGATGAACTGATTTCCACGGAAGCTCTACTTCATATCTGTTCTTCTTGAACTTAATTTTGTCGATGTGCTGTTCGAATAAAGATCTTGATTCTATACCAAGCGATTCCAGGTTCCAAAATTTCTCAAGATCTTCCTGTAATGACTGATCAGCTTCTGACGAAGAAATAAAATTTGTTGATATCATCTCTGGATAATAGCTGCTTTCGTCTCTGGTTGTATGACTCATCGGACCAAATAAAACCCATCCCAATATTGTGTTCAAACCGGTAGGGCCCCTCTCCCCCCGTACGACTTCTCCGGTTACAAAATTCCAATATTCATCTGAACCAATTAACATATCTATCATCAGGTCATTTTGATCTCCGTTATAGTCTGCAAATTTTAAATTTCTCAGATGAGGGAATCCATTTTGAGCTCTGTCTAAAGACTGGTTACATAATTTGTCGCATATGAATGGAACAACTATTGCTAATATCCGGATATCTCCGTTGTTGGTTTTAATGTGTAGGCTTACAACATCTAAAGTCTGGGGAGTCTTAAATGCTGATCCAAATGTCTTGATCATAAAGGTTCTCTGTTCAACAACTGGCAAGCAAAGATAATCTTGAATGGCTCTGGTTATATATGTGCGTTGACTACCACTGTCAAATATCATCCTAACTTCTAATCTGGCACTGTAAATTGTGGGATTAAATACAACAGCTCTTGCTGTGGGTAACAATATTGCTGTTGACGAATTAACAAACATCGACAATGAACTCTGTGTTGTTTCCACCTGACCATGAAAATTTCCTTGATTTCCCTGAAACCATGTTGAACCTTCAGTATTTCTGTTTAACTGGAATCTTTGTGATGGTTGAGCTGGCTGATTATTCTGGAATCTGTGAGATAGTGTTTGTTGAGAAACTGGACATCTAACTTGACTGCCAAAGGCTGGAAATCTTGATTGCTGATAATATGATGGCGAGGGTTGGGAATATCTTTGGTGCAGAGAATGCTTATTGTTGATTGGCACATTTGGACCTCTGGCTTCACAAATACTAATATGATGATGCTCTTGACAACGTGGACATCTTTTATTTGGGTCGCAATTGTAACTCATGTGATCCTTTCTGAGGCAAACATAACAACGTTTATCCCTCCTTAGTATACTGCGTCTTGTTTCAATACTTGTAACATTGGTACACTTATTGGATGGATGTGGTTGGTGACAATAAGTACACGATAATCTATTACTATCAGTTGTCAATAAGGCTGAAGCAGTAGTTTGGTTTCTAAATCTTGCTGAAGCTGATACAGGTCGTGAAGTTGTGGTGGATATGTGGTTGGACTGTCTACTTAAGTCTAAAGCCCTCTCTCTCGCCTCCAGTTCTGTACAAATAAATTGTAGTAGTCGATCTAGTTCCCAATCACTGTCACCCATCTCTCTGCTGACTATTAATCTCAACTCGGACGGAATTTTATTCATCAATACACTTGCAAGGAGATTGCCGTAGGAGCTGGATGGAACACCTAAAGATTTTAAACTTCGAACTTGAGCTTCTACACTATCATAGAGTTGACGAATTCCCTTCAAATTATAACCAGAGCTGATAGTCTCAAAATTCAGCAGAATCTCCATATGACGATTTATAATCATCTGTTTATTTCCAAATCTCTTTTTTAAAATGCTTACAGCTTCCTGGTAGTTTGCAGACGTTAGTGATAACCCTCTTATGCTCTCCCTAGCCGTGCCTTCTAATAATGAATTGAGGTAATTAAATTTCTCTACGGCTGCCAAATCTCCATTTGAGTTAATTGATGCGTCAAATGCATCCCAAAAGGTGTTCCATTGACTTAAATCTCCACTGAATTTGACAAGGTCCAATTTTGGAAGATTAAGATGGACTACCCTTGCATCAGCAGTAGCAGCTTGCTGTTGGGGTGTGGTTGTGGACATGTTCGGCCTTAAATCTTGATTTCCTGACTCTATGGCATCATTTTCTTGACTGGACGCATTAACAAGGTTTGACGGTATTGTTGACATGGCCTTATTTGAGAGGTTTGACTGTATTCGAATCAAAGCTAATTGTAATAGTTCCCTGTAGTTGTCCGAGGCCTCTACTTCTTCTGGAATAAGTTCTTCCTCGATTTTGGAAATGATTTGATCATCAAAATCTTCTAACTTACGTATTTTCTCTTCAATTGCAAATTTTAGTTGTTCGGACCTTTCCACCAATTCTGGACCTCGTAAACCCGATTCAAGTAATTCTTCTACTGCAGAATTAAGTCGTTTGGACATTGCTCTATGACTTCCGCGAATCCTTTTTAATCTACTTAATTCCATGGATGGATAGTGTCCTTGCCTTGAAGTTAAATTTTGGCCAGTTGCCAACGGGCTCCGTGGCGGTGGAGATTGCATGCCTGTCGCCATTTTTTTTCGCGCCGAATTTTCACTTACTTTTTGAAGTATATATGACACAAATTAATCAGTTTTCTTGGACTGTATCGTCTTACTTGGATATCCGTCTCATCGTGACCATGTAGGGTATTGGACTTTGGATGCGATGGTTCATTTTGACACGGCTCTCTTTCAAGCAATCTTGACTTTATTATTCAACCATTTTTTGAGGTAATACAAAAAACAACTGCAGATAACTCTAACAATACAATGTGGAACAAGACCACCGATTATTATTCTTAATTTGGAATGGACATACTTAGATCACGGACAACAATTCAATGGAATACAATTTCCAACTTGGCTTCTCATCATCGCTTGATCAAAATCATAGGATGCTAGTCAAATTGTCACTCAGTATTCAACAGTAAATTGTATCACATAGAACTGTGTCCTGTGTATTTCCAGTTCAATTACTAAATGTTATTAAAATAATTTAAGTGTATAATTCTGACTTATTAATTTAATGTTTACAGTGAAAAATTCATTCATAATGTTCTCTTTGATGTACATTGGAACCCTTCAATGTTTACCCTAACAACAGTTGTCAATGACTACATCTGGGTTACGACCAAATTAGGTAATCCATAACAAACAAGATTAAACCAAGATGGCTGCATTACTACTTCTGTTTCTTCCTCTCCGTGATCTGTCTCCGCTATGGATCTGGTTCCGTCTGGACTTCCACTTGGTCCTGTTCCTTTACTAGATTTATCGTCATGTTTATCGTGACCTTTTGATTTCACAGACGGTGTTGATTCTCCGGCCTCTCGTGCTTCTGCTTCAGCTCGTTCCTCATTGGCTCGTTTCTGTGGTGACATCATTAATCGAACCATCTGTCCGGTTGTTTTTCCCTTCTGTAGTAAATCTGAAGGATATAAACATAGATTATGAATAAACAACAAAATTTTGAAGGTTAAATCATTTTAGGCGAGATATGAACAAACTGATTCTAGGTGAGGTAGGACAAACTGATTCTAGGTGAGGTAGGACAAACTGATTCTAGGTGAGGTAGGACAAACTGATTCTAGGTGAGGTAGGACAAACTGATTCTAGGTGAGGTAGGACAAACTGATTCTAAGTGAGATTATGACAAACTGATTTTAGGCAAGATTAGGACAAACTGATTCTAGTCAAGATAAGGACAAACTGATTCTAGGCGAGATTAGGACAAACTGATTCTAGTCAAGATAAGGACAAACTGATTCTAGGCGAGATTAGGACAAACTGATTCTAGTCAAGATAAGGACAAACTGATTCTAGGCGAGATTAGGACAAACTGATTCTAGTCAATTTTGAGGACAAACTGATTCTAGGCGAGATTAGGACAAACTGATTCTAGTCAAGATAAGGACAAACTGATTCTAGGCGAGATTAGGACAAACTGATTCTAGTCAAGATAAGGACAAACTGATTCTAGGCGAGATTAGGACAAACTGATTCTAGTCAAGATAAGGACAAACTGATTCTAGGCGAGATTAGGACAAACTGATTCTAGTCAATTTTGAGGACAAACTGATTCTAGGGGAGATTTGGACAAACTGAATAACTTAGAGAGCAACCAAAGTATGTTTTGTTTCAAATCAGCCTTTCTCCCCCCTGGTGAAATAGGAAGCTAAATTTTTTATAGATGTCCCCAAAGAATAAAAATTCAAATTGGTCGGCACCTAAACACTTACATAATTGAGACTCTATGCATATTTCTAAACTATGTCCACTATGCACTTAAATATAAATAGTTTCTGAACAAAAATACGATAAATACTGTTTCTTACCTTTCATGGAAACTTTCAATTTGTTGGCATTTTCTGCTAAGGTACAAGGCCACTGATTGGCTAGAATACATTTAACACCTGTTAAACTGGATAACATGGCTGTTTCTACTGGTTTTTCTAGAGCTAGATCATTATGGCTGAAATAAAACAAAAATCTATCAGTAAATATATTTCTGGATGACTAAAATCAAATTTGATTTTCATTTCAGACAAGGCAATAACCTGACTGTCCCTAGCAGTGACATTCCAGGAATTTAAAGGTTTGCTGTATGAGGCCGAGTCCACAAACTTCATCCATCACCTTCGTTTAAAACATGGGTTTATCTTCGGTCATGTTTAACAGTTGGGACTGAATGTCTTAAAGAGAACCCATATGATAACAAATATCAAGATGTTTACCTTTTAAGAATATCTGTCTTTGATTGGCGTAGAAAACTTTTATTGGTTTGGGCAAGATCCAAACAAAACAGCATCACACATTCTGAAACATTAGATTAAATTATTTAAAATATTTTTTTTTAATTTAAAACATGATGAATCAGAAGAGATAAATGAAGATCCATAGTAACCTGATTCCCAATCTGTATATAACAAGGAGTAGGGTCATCTGTTCAACCTCTTAAATTTTCTCCTGTTTCCTAGCACTACTAAAGATTGAAATAAAATTGGACCATATGTTATTTCCGAAATGACTTTGTTTGGGTTGAGTCAGTTGAATGGATGTTAAATCCAATTTTCATTTTTCTCTCTCTCATTGGCGCTGAGTGGCTTTGTTAAAGTTACAATTTCATATTTTTTAAGTTATATTTTTAAAATGTATTAAAATAAAGCCCTAAAATAGATGGTATCTATAAACAGTCCTACTTTGTTAAAGAATAATCCTATTAATCCTATAATTCACTATTGCCAGTTGAGAAATTGGCAAAAATATCATTTTCAACTTTAAATTCAAACGTTTGAAGATAGCTATTCCATGGTGGGGAATAAGAAAACAAGGGAGGTAATTGTGTTATTATTTCCGGTGTGAAGATTTTTTAAGTGTGAGAAAGATAACCTATGATCGTATAATACTGAGTTGACAACATATTGAGCAAAAGACATAGAAATAATTATGTTTTGACTTTCGTAGAAAATATGAAATTGTAACTTTAAGACCAGAGTTTACAAATCATGATTGAAAATAATGTTTTCTTTGAATAGCACTAGTAGTTTATTCCTGAAGACAGGAATACAGACTGTCACCAGGAGAAACATCTCTTGTCCATGTTATTTCTATGTAGCGAGAAATCAGTGACAACAGTTTAAGTTTAAACAGATCTTTAAGGTAGGACGGAGATAAAATGAAATGAAATGGGGTTTAATGTCCTAGTTCAACTGGGCTAATGAAGATGCGCATATGCCATGCAGTGTGCTAAGTAAGAGGGAAATGTTGCCCAGACAGCAACGCTACAGTCTACTCTTTATCGAATTCAAACTGCCAAGGGATCTTTAATGTGCACGCCAATGTGTACACGGTACCTAGTTTCTTTGTCGTATCCGAACGACTAAACAGGGTCCCTTGCCAGACCCTCTGTCCTGTACTACTGAAAAGGGGGAACCATGCCAGAAGATTCAGAGAAACTTTCTTGGCCAACACTGGAAGCAAACGCAAAACCTCCTGATTAGCAAACCACGGCTCCTCAGGTAGGAAGAGAGAGAGAGAGAGAGAGAGAGAGAGAGAAATGGAGTTTAATGTCCACATGAAACTAGGTCATTTCAGGACTAACATATGGTTTCATTTTATTTCAATAATTCGTTTGCACCTAGGGGTCTTTAGCGGTTGGAGGAAACCGGAGGGCCCGGAGAAAACCAACGAGGTTGGACAGGTAATCCTACTCCTTGTCACGTACAAACGGGGAATCGAAACCCCACCAGTTGACTCAATGACACACCATATGATACAGCGTGTGCGTGCTAACCATTCGGCCATCCAACCCCCTCCCCAGGTAGGAAGAAGTAGAACAACTGTTTGAAAGATATTTATAATACATATGTAAAATATTTTAAACCACTGTTATGATATCATCCTTTGTTTTTATAATCCATTCTATGATGGAGTGTATCAGCTAGTCTTTAACATTGTTGATTACATTGGATGTAGTTTAAAATAAAGAAATGAAAACGAAATGAAGTGGGGTTTACGTTCTACTCCAACTGGGCCAATGAAGACGGACATTCGCCATACAGTGCGCTATGGGGGAAATTTTGCCCGAACAGCGATGCTACGGCCGACTCATATCGATTTCCAACTGCCAAGGATCTTTTATGTGCGCGCCAATGTTTTATAATAGGGAACAAGAAACAGATTTTAGAATTTAAAGAACAAACCTGGAATATTTAGAGCTGATAGTTTAGATGGTGGAATGTAGGAGAGGAGACGTTCCATACCATAAAATATCATGGAACTACTTTCATTCAGGTAAACTTCCCATTCTCCAACACTGAAACACAGAAAACATTCAAGTTCAAAATTTTTTTTAAAAAATACCGAAATGTACATGGCAAATATCATGGAACTACTCCCATTCCTGCAAACGTGAGGTCCTGTGTATATATTGGCATGTATGAAAATGAATCTTTGAAGTACAGATGGAATTCAATGAAGAGCAGGAAGAAAAGCCAATATCTGTGTAAAATGTCCCTTGAAACAAACTGAATGGCCATTCCTAGAAAAGGGATTTGATCATTTGTTAACTGTAGAAGAAAATGTCGATGATCGAACTAATCCAAGGCATATACACCAAATTAGAATATTCTACCTACATTAGAAACATAATTATTGTGTTCCAAAAGGTGTGATATATGAATAGATCCTCGTCTCCCGTGTGCACAGACAGACAAACTCTTCAGTTTCCTGCATTCTACGAGGTGACGGACAAATGGACGGCCGGACAGACAAACGAATAGATGGACAGACCGTCTCTTTAAAAGTCTCCTGCATTTTGCGAAAGGTGTGACAGACAAACCCATTCTACAAGTCTCTAGTATTCTGGGAAAGGTGTGACAAATGGATGGACAGACAACCCCATTTTAATAGTCCACAGTCCACTGTTTTCTGCGAAAGACGTGGCACAATAATGTGAATATACCTGGGTGGATGATCTTCGCCTGATAAACCTAACCAACGTGGTGTAAACTGTTGTTCGTATTCCTCCACCACAGTGTTAAACACAGACACAGGTTTATTCTCTTCCGTCTCCGCGCAATCATCGTAACAATCTACCATATCTTATACACAGGTCAAGGTTATAATAACACTACACGATTTTACTAGCTCAGTTCACAATGGTCAAGGTTATTGTAACTCTACAACTAGGGTAACATTTAGTTGTGTTGTTTTAGCAGGAGTTTCTGTTTTTAATGATTAGTTGAAACCATTGTTCTAAAATTCTTAAAATTCATTGAAAATCATTGAAAAATATTGAGTTCATACTTTTGCGTAGTTTAAAATGACATGTTGGGCTTAAAACTAAACAATATATATATATATATATATATATATATATAATATGAGAGAGAGAGAGAGAGAGAGATGGGGTTTAACGTCCACTCGACACAAATTAGGTCATTTTGGGACTAACATATGGTTTAATTTTATTTCAATAATTCGCTTGCGCGTAGGGCCTTTAGTAGTGGGAGAAACGCCACGAGGATGGACAGGCGACCCTACTCCTTGTCACATACAACCGGGGATTCGAAACCATGCCAGTTGATTCAATGACAGGTCGTATGATACAGCACGCACGTGCTGACCAATCGAACATCCAACCGCCCTCATTAAATATAGGAACTAGAACAACACAATCACAACCTACCATATATAACTCTACTACTACAAAATAATATGATTGACAGCAGTGGTGCGTTGACATTATCCCAAATATTGCCTGCATCTGATGATAAATTTTGGGATGAACGTAACAGAACCAGCATTCTCTTAAGAGATTCAAACTGTCATAGTACTGTAGTTTGTACGGGCTGTGTCTCAAAAAAGGACATCGATCTTTGGTGCATGGAAAGTGATGGAAAAAGTTACAAATTTTTATTCCCCTAAATAAGTTCAGAGAGGACTTCCCAGGGTAAAAAAAATGTGTTTTATATGTCAATTCGTGGATGTTTAAAGACATGATTATTTTTAAAAAAGATACATCTGAAGTTCATGGTATCAACTGGTAATTGCCAGGGTTGTATGGGACGATCTAGTGGTACAATCTTGGCTTGTTTTTGTTTAGCTTCTCGTACTCCTGGTATACGTGACATCGGATTACCACCCTCTTTACCCTTCTTTTTATTTTTATCTCCGCTTGTGTCTTCTGTAAAATTAAAATTAACACAAAAATCAATAAGACATGGTTAGTTTGGAGTTTTTGAGGGTGGGGTGGGATGGTAATTTTTCTTGGTAGTGTGGGTTGGTTTTTTTTTTTTTGTTCCTTTAACCATCCTAACTTTTTGCACCAACCAGGCAGGGGTCATTAGCAGTAGGAGGAAACCGTAGGACCCAGAGAAAACCCATAAGGATGGACAGGTGACCCTACTCCTTGACATGTACAAACAGGGAATCGAAGTGGTCTAGAGTGTCGTACTTCGAGCTCTAACTGTCCGGTCAACTCTCTGGTTTATGGCCGTAGTTATGATCCCAGATGTGGGCGTATGTGGCTTGGAGATTGGGGCGCCTTTCCAACCAAGTGGGTTTACGCCGGGTACTCCAGTTTCCTTCAACTTGTCTGCGATATCACCTGGTGGATGGTGAAAGCGGTCATTAAACACTAATAAAACAAGAAGCCACTGTTGTAAGGGAGAGAGAAAGAGAAATGGGGTTTAACGCCCACTCAACACATCATTTCAATTTTATTTCAATAATTCCCTTGCGCGTAGGGGTCTTTAGCAAATGGGAGGAAACCAGAGGACCCCGTGGAAAACCCATGAGGTTGGACAGGTGACCCCATTCCTTGTCACATACAACCAGGGAATCAAAACCACACCAGTTGACTCAATGACAGACCTTATGATACAGTGCGCAGTGCTAAGCATTCGGCCATTCACCCTCACACCCCCCCATTATGGGACTGGTGGTGCAGTAATCATGAATGGTAAAACTTGCTTAATAAACCCTGTAAATGCAACTGGATTTACAGTCTACAGGGCTAAATTCAGTTTTTAAAAACGTAAATTCCATTGACCTACCTTGTACAGGTTCTTGATGAAATCTATGATAGAACATCTGTAGTGAGAAATCTCGGGATAAAGATGATACAGAGTTTCCTTGTAGACATTCCAGAGCTTCTAGAGGTAACTGTAATAACACTGAATCAGCCAATATTACAATAGACTCTGGTGATAAGTGATGATCTTTAGGTTCTTTAGATAGATTACCTGTACTACCAGTTGGTGATGAACCTGATCTGAAATATTAAAAGAAATAACAAAATCCTTAACTAGGCTTGAAAAAGAGAGAGAGAGAGAGAGAGAGAGAGAGAGAGAAATAGGGTTTAACTTCCACTCAACACAAACTAAGTCAGTTTCTGGACTAACATATGGTTCAATTCTATTTCAATTCTTTAGCAGTGGGAGGAAACCAAAGGATCCAGAGAAAAGCCATGAGGTTGGACAGGTGACCATAATCCTTGTCACGTACAAGCCGGGCTTCGAAACCACGTCACTTTGTGTCACACAAATGACAGATTTAAGATACGCTTATAATAAATTACCTCAAGGCATGGTGTATATGGGTTGTGATGGGTTTTAAATAGGTTTCCATGGCAATGACAATATGACGGAATTCTTCTTCTAATCTCTGTTCTTCCATGTGATCTTCCACAGTTTGTACCTATGATATAATGTTAACAATAATAACAGACATTTTATGGATACCCTAATAAACAATTATAGACCTATATATATCACGTTAACAACATTGAATACATTTGAAAGTAAACGGAAAGTAAAAGTTCATGATATGCCCACACTAAGTAGGGATGACGCAACAATAAACGTTGGCTAATAAAAACTGTCCCCGAGTTCACAAAGCATTCTCAGACTTAAGTTAAGAATTTACTCAAAATTGTTTGCCTTATGTTAACTATAATACAGCCCTTCATAAAATGTTTTGTTGTTTTAATCTATCAAATACATCAATAAACCAGCGGCTGCCAGGCAGGATACGCCCAAAAAGAAAGCTAAAAAGAAAGTGATTTTTCTTACAATCAAGGGCCATAATTCATGAAGTTACAATCGGATAAGGGCAAATATCGAAAGGAACCAAGATCTTTGGGTTATAAACATGCATTTCAAGTTTCATCAAAATCGGATTAAATTGTAACCTCTACCCACAACCTTGTTATACAATATTTTTACACCTTTCGCGTACAAGCGGCGGCCATTTTGTCCGGCAGTTTTGGTTTGATTTTCAGGAAATTTGAACTCAACCTTTATTATGGTGTTACGGTGATATATTCAAACAGTTTTTTAAAATCAGATAATGACTGTGACCTTCAGAGGGACCACAAGCTAAAAAAGACGATTTTTCGTATAAGCAGGGGCCATAATTCAGGAAGTTACGATCTGATATGCAACAATATCGAAAGGAACCAAGATCTTTAGGTTATAAATATGCATTTCAAGTTTCATCAAAATTGAATTAAAATTGCGACCTCTACAGGGTCCACATACTACATTTACCATATTTTTACACTATTCGAGTACAAATGGCGGCCATTTTGTCCGGCAATTTTGGTCCGATTTTCACGAAATTTAAACTCAACCTTCCTTAGGGTGTAACGGTAATATAATAAAACGATTTTTTAAATCGGATAAAAATTATGACCTCTCTAGGGTCCACAAACTAAAAACGTGATTTTTCGTACAATCAAGGGGCCATAGTTCAGGAAGTTACGGTCCGATATGCACGAATATCAAAAGGAACTGAGATCTTTGGGTTATAAACTTACATTTCAAGTTTCCACAAAATCGATTAAAAATTGTGACCTCTATAGGATCCACAACCTTGATATACCATATTTTTACTCTAAGTATTCGCGTACAAGCGGCGGCCATTTTGTCCGGCAATTTTGGGCCGATTTTCACGAAATTCGAACTCAACCTTCATTACGGTGTAACGGTGATATAATCAAACGTTTTTTTTAATCGGATAATAATTGTGACCTCCAGAGGAACCACAAGCTGAAAAACGCGATTTTCCGTACAATCAGGGGCCATAATTCAGGAAGTTACTATCTGATATGCGCAAATATCGAAAGGAACCATGATCTTTAGGTTATAAAAATGCATTTCAAGTTTCATCAAAATCGAATTAAAATTGTAACCTATACAGAGTCCACAACCTTGATTTAACATATTTTACACTATTCGCGTACAAACGGCGGCCATTTTCTGGCAACTTTGGTCCGATTTTCACGAAATTCGAACTCAACTTTCCTTAGGGCGTAACGGTGATATAATAATACGTTTTTTTAAATCGGATAAAATTATGACCTCTATAGGGTTCACAAGCTAAAAACGCGATTTTTCGTACATTCAGGGGCCATAATTTTAGGAAGTTACAGTCCGATATGCACGAATATCGAAAGGAACTGAGATCTTTGGGTTATAAACTTACATTTCAAGTTTCAACACAATCGGATAAAAATTGTGACCTCTATAGGGTCCACAAGCTAAAAACGTGATTTTTGGTACAAACAGGGGCCATAATCCATGAAGTTTCGATCCGATACATGCCAATATCGAAAGCAGCCGAGATCTTTTGGGGATAAACCTATATTTCAAGTTTCGTCAAAATCGGACAAGAATTGTGACCTGTAGAGAGTCCACAAACAAATTGTGGACGGACAGGGGCGACGACAATATATGTCCACATGAAAATGCAACTATATGCAAAGTTGTGTGTTTCTGGGTCAGAGATATTTCTCATAAACAGTGATTGAAAGTTGAGTAAATTCTTAACTTAAGTCTGAAAATACTTTTTGAACTCGGGGCCTGGACTAAGTGGTAATAATTAGTTAATTATCCTAAGATATCAAATTGAAGTCAGTCTTGGGACAAACATAAACCTGGCCTCAAGTTCACAAAGCATTCTCAGACTTAAGTTGAGAATTTACTCAAAATTGTTCGCCTTATTTTAAGTAATATATAGCTCTTTACAAAACTTTTGTTGTTTTAATGTATCAAATACATCAATAAGAAACCATGTGCAAAGTTTTGTGTTTCTGGATCAAAGATATTTCTCATAAACAGTGATTGAAAGTTGAGTAAATTCTCAACTTAAGTCTGAGAATGCTTTGTGAACTTGGGGCCTGTTCTTCAGCTGTTATAACTATCATTAGGCTACACAAAAAAAAATATTCTGAATATCAGGCAATCATTCCCGACAATCTGATTTTAGTTTTTGTATTTTTATTGGGCAAACGAAATGGGCTAATGAAGACGGGCATACACCATGCAGTGTGCTATGAGGGAAATTTTGGCGGGATAGCCGTGCTATCGAATAACAATTGCAAAGGGATCTTTTACATGCACGCCAATGTGTACACACGACCTCAATTTTTTGTCCCATCCAAAAGACTAGACAGTTGTCCTTGTCTCGCCTCTTGTCCTACGCCATTAAATGACTTCTCATAAACATAACATTTCAAGGCACAACATTTATCTGTTCTGATTATGGTTATCCAGTATCATTTATGATTGTCAATAACATTATCAGGGTTGCGTATTGGATAATTGAGTCTACGGTTCCCTTCCTGTCTCATTCAAATTTTTAACATCCTGTAACTGACAGAAAAAATTTACACAAGTTAATTATTGGGACTGTTTTTATTTCTTTAAATAATAATGGGTTATGTAGCTTTGTTTAAGTGATGCAGGAATCTCTGAGAACCATCCTTACCTTGGCTTCCTGTTTGATATTGTTGTCAATGTTTTCTAACATTTTATTTCGTAACGCCACTTGAGTTCGTTGATATTCTTGTTTTAATAATAACTGTTGTACACATTGTTTATGGTTATTAAATCGTTCTATTAGTTCTTCAATACATTTTGGACTGGTTTCAATTCCAAATATCTTCGCTCGACTTGGAACTGAAAAAAGAATCCAAAATAAAGATAACTGATAACAAAAAGGGATGAATATATTTTGGTAAACTATGTCAGTTCATTTTCTTCATTTTAATGGCTGGTTCTTTCCACTATCGGTACATAAACCTACCTCACATACTGGTCTCACACTTATTTGACTTGAGAGATATGTGGTGATCTATGAGTGAATTCAAAACTCAATGTAAAAAAAAATAATTTTTCTCAAATTTTTCAGGGGACCATGGTCAAATATTACTTTTAACAACTGCTAAAGGATTAATTAGAGTAAATCAATCACAAACCTCCGATGGTCTAGAGAGTTGATTATGAGCTTGTCATGTGAAGGAGCCACTGTGGCTTAGTGAGTAGGACAGTGGCTTGTTAACCTGGAGATTTTGTGTTCGATCTCTGCATTGGCAGAGGAAGTTCATCAGGATTTTAAGGCGTGGTTCCCCCTTGTCAGTGGTGTAGGACAAAGGGCCTAGGAAGGGTCAACCTATAGTCATTCGGATGAGACGATAACCTGAGGTCCCATGCACATTGGCATGCATGCAAGTAAAAGAACCCTTCACAGTTGGAATTCGAAACAAAAGTAGGCCATAGAGCCGCTGTCTGGCCAAAATTTTACTCAAAGCAGGAGCAGAATAGTAGGACATTATACCCCATTTCATTTCATTATTATTATTTATCATGTGAATAAATGTCTAATTAATAATTTATATAACAATTGAAACCCCTAAAAAAGACCTGCAATAGACAGATTTAAATCTTACATAACGCATCTTTAAGGATCGTATACTGAGTCAGGCTATTTGGGGTGTCTATGGATCAGTGGTGTTGGGGTACCTGTAGTCAATATTTACATGTACCAAATGCTAAACTAGATTACCTGTTGTAGAATGTTGTTTACCTCCCTTTCCACCACCAGCACCGCTACTAGCTTTAGATCGATCTAATAGCGCTCCATATAGAAAATTCCTATATAAATATCAAAACATATAGAAATGTCCTGCACAAATATCAAAACATATAGAAATATCCTGCACAAATATCAAAACATATAGAAATGTCCTGCACAAATATCAAATCATATAGAAATGTCCTACTCCTACCTAGATAAATATCAAAACATACAGAAATGTCCTACAGAAAATTACCACTGAATACAGGGTTTAATTGTTTAGGAGGTGCTTGATTGTAAGTCTGGAACATTCCAAATGGATAGAATTGTAACTGAAGAACATGGAATAGAGTCCTGTCGCAGTTCTGCCAGTCATGACAATGGATATGGTATGAGCAGAATCGTGACACAATCAAACATTTCAAAAATGAAGATTGGTCAGCTGTCGGACGAAATTCTTGTGTTTATTTGATAGACATCTTACCAGAGATTGACAGAATCAATGAAAAGGTTAATTCTTCTAGAATATTATGTAATCAAGAGTTTATACTGAATATTTACCTGTCTGGTGCATGTTGTAATATGATAAAATTAAAATTGGATGGAAATTCTTTCACCAGATCTAAATGATTTGGAAGCACTGTTAATCTCTTCCATGCCTGAATAAAAATTTAAAAAAAATTCAATATCACATAACTTCAATAATCATAAGAGAGAGAGAAATGGAGTTTAACATCCACTTGACACAAACTAGGTCATTTCGGGACTAATATATTTCAATAATTCACTTGCACGTAGGAGTCTTTAACAGTGGGAGGAAACCGGAGGACTCGGAGAAAACCGACGAGGTTGGACAGGCGACCCTACTCCTTGTCACGTACAACTGAGGATTCTAAACCACTCCAGTTGACTCAATGACAGGCCTTATGGTACAGTGCGCACGTGCTAACCATTCAACCATCCAACCCCCCCTCCATAATCATAAACGTTCTAACATATTTATTTTAAAGGAATAGTGTCATAAGCACCTCTATTTTCTGTTGGTCAGTACCTTCGAGTAGATAGCATTTTAATACCCTTTCAGTTGAGTACTTGAGATTAGCACCTTCGTAATTATCATTGAGCCCCAATCTTTGTTACTGATCATAAAGTCTCTAATGAAGTTGCTATTAAAACCCGTACATACAAACTCAGCTAGTATATATGCAGGGGCTGATTCAGGAATTTTTGCAGGAGAGGGTTTGCCAGGTTCCTGAGACAATGTATCTCCCCCCCCCCCTCCCGAATGGTCTCTATCGTCATTTTGGCGTATAATCATACACATTGAGCTTTTTAGCCAGAAAATTCAACACCTCGTTTGACGTCATTTTTATTATGAATTAATACAATGACATTGTGATTCAATTTCATGGATGCAAAGTATTAATTGTGATATCACATAATGTCTATATCATTATCTTGTGCTTTGACTGCCCATCCTGTTCCACATCTGACGATAAAGGATAAAGCACACGGCCGAGAAACTTTTCACATAAAAATTGTTGATTTACAAAAAAAAGTATGTAGCTGAGCAGGGGGGAGTTTCGACCCCCCAAACCCCTCCTCTGGATCCGCCCCTGTATATGAAGATTCTATTGGCATTGCTTGAGTATTGAAATTCTATGATATTGTTTCTACCAATTGGATTTGACTGACCCATTAATAAAGACCCTATTAATCAAGCCTACCTGCCAGTCTTTCTCTAATGCTGTATTAACTGATGTCATTAAAGCACTGGATGATAGATTCGTCTGGATATCAGAGTCTAGGATATTTTTCCGTTGATGTAAAAGAGTAGCAAGTTTTGACGTGACAGGATCTAACTGTGACTGATGCAAAAGTTTCTCCAGTTTAACTGATGTTTCACAACTCTATAAAATAATAAAAAAAAACATTGATATAAATGTGTTTGGTTTAAGACTATTTACTTTCCTAAAAGGTTGCATGTTCAATCAGAATTTTCTGGCGTGGTTTCTCCTTGTCAGTGGTTCAGGACAGAGGGCCTGACAAGGACAGCTGTCTAGTCTTTCGGATGGAACGAAAAACCAAGGACTCATACATGACTACATACATTGGCATGCACGTAAACGATCCCTTTGCAGTTCCAATTTGCTAAATAGTAGACCGTAGCGTTGCTGTCCCGTGTACACATTGGCGTGCATGTAAAAGATCCCCTGGCAGTTGGAATTCGATATATAAGAGTAGGCCTTAGCGCCACTGTCCAGGCAAAATTTCCCTCATAGAACACTGTATGGTGTAGTTCTGTCTTCATTAGCCAAGTCGGAGCAGAACCGTAGGACATTAAAACTCATTTCGTTTCATTTTCCCAAAAGGTGTTGAGTTCAGTAAACCCACCACACATTATTTAATCTAAACAAACCATTTAAAAAAAACCACAATAATAGGAACCCAATAGTTTTTGATAATTCTCAACAAATTTTAACAATTTTCCAACACATGGTTTGAGACTAAACATTAAATATAGAACCTCATGCTAATACAGCACAACTACACGATACTCCAATTGTAGCGTGGTGTGATACAGAATAATGAACATACAATCAGGAAACAGATATTAGAAATATTCTGACAAGATACGAATTGGTATCTAACCTGATGTAATGCAAGAAGCTGACTGGCTGCTGCTGGATCAAACTGACCAATCAAATCTACCAATTCTTTTGCTGCTGAACTGGCCAATGCCTGAAATAATAAAATAAGACATATTAAGACATTCCCAAGACATACTATAAAGGTATGAAATGAAATGAAATGTGGCTTAACGTCCTACTGTTCTGCTCCGACTGGGCTAATGAAGACAAGCATACACCGTAAAGTGTTCTATGAGGGAAATTTTGCCCGGACAGCGACACTGTGGCCTACTTTTATATCGAATTCCAACTACCAAGGGATCTTTTACGTGCACGCCAATTTATACACAGGTTCTCGGTATAATAACAGATTCTATTATCTTAAATAAATATAATTCATGTATTACATCTTTAATAAGACTGAAAACATTTTCCTGAGAGAGAGAGAGAGAGAGAGAGAGAGAGAGAGAGAGAGAGAGAGAGAGAGAGATGGTCTTAAGCGTCCACTTGACAAATACTAGGTCATTTTGGGACTAACACATGGTTAAATTTTATTTCAATTATTTTCGCCACCCCCCTCCCCACCCTGTTGATTAGAAGACAAAGTATAAGAACTATAACTTACGGTATATCCATTTTGAAGAGAAAGATTTAAAGTTTGAACCAAACATTCACAAGCTTGTACCAGGTAAAATTTACTCTCAATATGATGTTTCTGAAAATAAAAGTATAAATTTCATTTAGAAACCAAACTTTACCCCCAATCCCCTGGTCCACAATATCACATTCTGGGGTTTAATGTACCAAACGGGATAATGAAGACAAGGATATGGCACACAGTTTGCTATATACGAAATTTTGCCTGGGCAGCAGTTTGAATTTAAACTGTCAGGGTTCTTTACCGTGCATACAGGATCTACTGGGTTTTTTTCATCTCAGCTAAATGACTCAATGTCATTCCTACAGAAATGACAAGGGGAAACCACCCTGGAAAATCCTAGTAAACTTTCTCAGCCAACACCAGGATTAAACTCTGGACCTACTGGTTAGTGAGCAATCACCTTACTCACTCAGCCACCATGGCTCCCAGATTGTATGTATGAAAAGATTATGCAGCTAATCATTAAAATTTTAATCATTCTTATTGAATTGATGAATAGTCCGACAAAAGGAAAGCAATGACTTCTGTTTAAGATTAGATTGATGAATTGTCCGACAAAGGATTAAGTCAGTCAATCAAGGCAGATTAAGTAGTTAAATCAAGGTAGGTTTATACTATAACACGATAAATACGTTGATCACTTAATTACCTAATAAACCCAGCGTATTATCGACAATAATCGGGTTGAGTGGTAGTTATACACTCAGTAAACTATATTAATTTCGGAATTTTGAATATTATTCACCATGTTTTGATGTCCGATTGGGCATATTCCCGGTCGGACAATTTTGTGCGTTTGGAAAAAAGATTCGGACAAGTCCGGAATATACGGGCAAAATCCCATCACTGAGCTAATGAATGAAAATGCTGAAAGAGGATATGGCAAAGGTCTGAAAAGGTGCCCAAAAAGTCACTCGAGGAACCAATCTAGATAGTGCACTCACTTACATATGAAGCTGCAATCTGATTAAAACACAGATACTGTTTCGTTTTGTTTTTTATAGTTCAAAGTTTCATTTTACTTGTCTTTACTAGACTAGGATCTGGAAGAGTTGTTATAATAACCCACGTTCTGGATGATGTGAGGGATTAGCCAATGAAATGGTCTGTTTTGGTAGGTCAATGGCGTGAGGTGCATGGAACTGTGGGTAACCCACTAGAAACATCAACGCTGATTGGTTAATCAAATGTCCACTGTCATAGGGTCAAAATCCGCTCGTATGACCCCTGACTCAACCTTCCACTACAACCGGTCAGATTTTCATGTAGTAGAGGCCAGCGAAAGTACAAAAAAATGAAACGAAATATAGATCTGTACTTCAATCAGATTGCTGAAGCTGTGATATAAATATATATTATTTTACCTCCAAATATGAAGATTACAAAGTATTAAATTGCAATGTCACAACAAATTTAAGACATCAAGTTAATTCTGATATTTGATATGTTAAAATATCATCAAGTTCCCCAATGATTATTTCTGGAGTTGGATTAAATGAAAACATCTTTTACCTTTTTCTCTATAATCTGTTGTGTATATTTGATTGTTTTTTTCGTCTCTTCGTAATTTTTATTTTCCTCCTCGTCTATTTTCTCACTTGTAGCTTTCAGTATTTCCTGTAAATATTCACAATATTAAAATATTAAAACACAACTGTTTAACAATATAACAACACTAGCAGGATACCAAGCTTCGCCCGGTTTGCCCAGGGTCTAAGATCTGTGACTTGACCTTCATAAATCATGGCCTAAAACATTCACGGGGTCATGCTGGTTAATTTGATACCACGTAATTGGGGGTGGATCGTGATCGTGATTTTATTTATATAGATTAAAACACCACTCTTTCACAATATAACAACATTAAAACACAACAAATCTAGAGAAAACATCAGTCATTACATGTTTTCAAAACTTCACAAGTCTTTGTATGAGTCAATTTAGTTTACCAGTCAATTTGGTTTACTGGTATATGTATTTCAAACTATCAAAACATTGATTTGATTGAATCTGATAAATTAGATTTAGTCTGAAAAATCCATATGACGATCTGCTTTTTTCAATCTGCTGTTTTGAATACGTATGATTTCATGACTTTAGCTAAGACATGTGTCATGTATATTTATCAACAAATCATATCTTACCATTTGGTTTACTAGCCATTGTGGTGGAACAGCTGGACTTGTAGCTTGTCCTAATATATGTAAACATGTTCCTATATTTAATAAACTCTGAAAATACACAAATATAATATATTAATAATAAATGACATATAAAAAAAACAAGGGCTTCTCTAGTCTTTATTATTACAATTACTGTTTAATGCTGAGAGACATTTTGGTTGGCTTTTCTAGTCTTTTTCATAACAATTACTGTTTAGTACTGAGCGACATTTCAACTAGGCTTCTCTAGCCTTTATGATGCGAATCATAGATCAAGATGAAAGATGTAAATTTCATTACTTTTTTAATAGTTAACATTGGGAAAATTCAACATTTATACCTAGTGGGCAAATATAACATTTACACAAAGTTGACAAATAGGCGTACGCTACCAGGGCATATTTAATGTGCTGTGAACGGAATTTTGAAGAACTATACACTTTTTTCTTGCCAGATGCTATTAACAATGGGAACAAGAAAGGATAATTCTGAAGAATTTTCTCAGTCAACACCTGGATTAAACCCAGAACCACCTGTTTAGTGAACCACCAAATCTAAAATACCAAGCCATTACCAAGATCGAATATATTAATATATAATAAATAAACTTATGATAGACTGATTAAACAAAAAACAATCTTCATTATACAATCTTACCTGAGCTCGTAAACTAAGAATATTTGCTGATAAACTGTGACTGTTTAATAACATGGTCATTGCTTCTTCTCCTACAGTTCTACAAAAATAATAAAATGTTTCCATTCTTTAAAAACAACTATTATCTGGAGAGAAAATTAATTTATAAAATCTATTGTGTAGAGTGTGGACCATCAGAAGATATTCTGATGTTGCGATAACTGCTGAGTAAAATTGTCTGCTTCTATGTTTCTATTACTAAAGTCAATGTACTTGTCACCATCTCTGTAAAACTGGGTCCTCAGTAATTGTAAACGTTTTAAATATGAGCAGTGCCTCCATAGAGGTGCATCGACAAAAGGCAGGAATGCATACATAATAATAAGGATGCATCCATAATGGAGGGGGAGTATCCATAAAAGCGGGGTTGCATATGAGCTAGGTAGCATACATGGCATTAATTTGAAAGAGGAAAATGGTCAGAGTACACACTTCAGTATTCAAATTCTGATGGTTCAACCACATGGTAATAAATAAATTCTAATGTCTGAACCAAATGATAATAGATAATTCTGATGTTTGAACCACATGATGTAATATATAATTCTGATCTTTGAACCAGATGGTAATAAATAAGAACTGAGCATCTGATGCGACTTTAACAAAGGAAAGATAACTCACTGTTTAATATCTACCCAGTCCTTCTCCATGTGAGTATAATTTGGTGTCTGTCTCACAAAATCTTCAACCATCTGATAAAGTAAAAAAACAACCGTTGTATTTTTGAACTTAAACTTAAATATTTTAGAATCAATGTTTTGAATTACCATGCAGAATAATTATATCAAAACATTTTAAAATCAATGCATTGGATTAGCGTACACATTAATTTCATAATAATATATTCGCATGTTAACCTACCAAGAGGACCGATCCTTTGCGTTCATCTTCCAGCTGTTTATTTCGAGATTCTTTTGTCTGAAGTCGTAAAATATCAACAAGTAAGTGCCCACATAATATCTGTATTTCCACTAGTTCACGTTGTATCGGCAAACTTAATCCTCTCATCTATAAATATATAAAGAAAATAAATACTCAATTATAAACTCAATATAACCATACTCATTGAACAACATAAAATAAATAACTATGCACTTTTTATGGAGCTCACATGCCTCACTTCACTGACAAATGTATTCATGTTCTGATCAAATAATTTTCAGTTTTTTCTATTTCGGTCTTTATATTTTGACTGGCAATTTGAGTGTGCTTCTGATGTAGGCTACATGTGTTCCTATGTCATTTGTCTGCATTATGTTGTGCAGTTATCCTGGAACAGGAATTTTCATTTAACAGTTCTCTTGCTATATTGTTTGCAATGTCTTCATTTTGTTGTGCATGTATCTTACATAGTCTAAAAGTTATAAACTATATAGAACTATCTATATATCCATACATTTTTTTTCTACAATTACGTTATGATAAACTACCAAAAGTCAATGAAACAATTAACATCTGTGGGCAGTTTTAAATCTCATCTCAAAACATTCTTGTTTCTAAAAACTGATCTGTAAATAATCAGTGACTATAACCAACAGCACCTTACAAACTGTTCTGCAGTATTAATGGCGATCTTATAATTATATGGTAAAATATAAAGTATTAAAACGTACATCTTGTAAAGAAGAGAGTGTATAGGAATCTTTATAAACATCTTCAGCTATAATAACACCTTCTTTTAATACAGCTAAAGCCTGAAATAAATACATGTAATGATGAGTGTCAAGTGGAGGGGGGCAGGGAAGAGAGATAGATAGAGTGCTCAGGTTTAACATCCACTCTACACAAAGGTCAATTTGGACCTAACGTAAAGTTTATATTTCAATTATTTGCTAACGCGTAGTGAGTCTTTAGGAGGAAACAGCTAATGCCTGGAATAATTACATAGGCCTACAGGCAACAAGTAGGGATGTGTGTCAAGTGGGGGAGGGAGGGGGAGAGAGAGAGAGACACACACACACGAAACCAGGGAAATCTGAACTATGTTAGGCGGATGGTCATACTACAGATCGCAATACATCCAACCATGTGATTGAAACTGTAACACTTGCCCCAATAACAAACATTTTGATCTACCAAGCATGTGATTGAAACTGCAACACTTGCCCCAGTAACAAACATTTTGATCTACCAAGCATGTGATTGAAACTGTAACACTTGCCCGGTAATAAACATTTTGATCTACCAAGCATGTGATTGAAACTGTAACACTTGCCCCAGTAACAAACATTTTGATCTACCAAGCATGTGATTGAAACTGTAACACTTGCCCCAGTAACAAACATTTTGATCTACCAAGCATGTGATTGAATCTGGAACACTTGCCCGGTAACAAACATTTTGATCTACCAAGCATGTGATTGAATCTGGAACACTTGCCCGGTAATAAACATTTTGATCTAGACGACTCAATTAACCAACCTTCTTGTCATGTAGATTACAGGGTATTCTTGGTATTCTTATTTTTTTTAAGTACACCCTAATTCATTTTTCAAGGGCCAGGACCAGAATAAATTTAGGGGAAAAGTTTGTGGTGGTTATATGACCTTTTTTTAATAATTGATAGAAAATATCCAGATTGATTGCTCGATATAAATTTCTTATCAATTAAATAGATAACGATACAGTGAGAAATGGGGCTTCATGTTCACTAGGTCAATATACAACTACAATTGTGTGCGAAGGGGCCAATAGTAGTGGGATGAAACCAGAAAACCCAGAGAAAACCCACAAGGTTAGAGAGGTACAAGCACTGGATGAAACCCATGACTGACAGACCAACCCAACCCCTTGACCACAAGACCAGTGATCTCTAAAGCATCCCCAAAGACCGACCACCTTAACCCAGAAAATAATACACTCTTACCTGTAGTAGATAAGTATGTTTTATTTCTGTTTCAATCGCTTCACCAGCGATATGTTTTAAAACATTAGCATGTTCTTTTATATAAGGTAATGCTTCTCTTTTATAGTCTGACCGTAGTAATTTCTCTATACCATTCTCAAATTTCTGAAGCAGAAAAATTAAATCATTGGTTAAAATCCAACAAAATTACAGTAAAATATGACATGAAATAAAAAAGGCTGACATAAGAATGCTTTTAATAACTAACTCTTTGATTAAACAAGGTGCCAGCTTGGTATGCTTATGTCAGGAAGATTTAATGGAATAAAGTTTTTTAAGTGCTGTATTTGTAGCCACTATAAAAACATTCTAGTGCCAAGGAAATATTCATTAGCATTAGGTCTTCCCATGAAATTTAGAAGATTGTTAGTCATGGTTTAGTTCGCTACTTTTTGACTAATCAGAACCCAAGAAATTTTTGTTTTGGGCTACATGTATAATTTACATGTTTATTTGTTTTAACTTACCTAAGAAACTGATAGTAATCTTTTCATTACCCATAGTCCAGTATTACTATTATAACTTACCTAACAAGCTGATAGTAATCTCTTCATTACATGTGGTACAGTACATGTTATAACTTACCTCACAAGCTGATAGTAATACCTTTATTACACGTGGTACAGTACAAATGTTATAACTTACCTCACAAGCAGACAGTAAACCCTTCATTACACGTGGTACAGTACTCCTTCGCTCTCCAGTCATCAATATAGTTGCCTGTATAGATGCTAACCTAAACAAATATAAAGGTGTATGTAATAATATAAAGGTGTAAATGTAATAATATAAAGGTCTATATGTAATAATATAAAGAAATACACCAAGCTGGACACCATAAGGGTTAGTGTTTGGGATGGCATTAAGGGTAACCCTCACCCAGAAATCTTCACAGATGAATTGATCTGCCCAATCAGTCGGAAAAATGAAATGGGAAAAATGAAATGGGGCTTAACGTCCTACTTATCGACACCACCCGGATACTACTAAAGACAGGAAGACATCTAATCCTAATGTAAATCCAGGAATCCTGACAGATAAATTTTCTGTCTTTCTTGATACCAGCTAGAATGTTTTGGATTTGTGAGAGAGAGAGAGAGAGAGAGAGAGAGAGAGAGAGAGTGTGTTTAACCACTGGACACAAACTAGGTCATTTCGGGTAAGGATGTAACGGTTCAAAAATTCTTGAACCGGTTAACTGGTCATTAAAAACCCAACCGTAACCGGTTAACCCATAAAAATTTTCTATCAAAATATTTGTTGCGCCAAAATAAGACTTGATAATATATTTTTAAATTATTAGTATTACAGCTTTTAAGTTAAAAGTCAGTACAAATTCCATTCATTCATTCATTCTTGATGTTTCATTTCTCCATCTTGCACACTGACAGGTCACGTAATGTGACGTATAGACCAGTGGCAGTTGAATTGAAATCATCTTGATTTTTTTTTTTTTAAAAAAAAAGCTTCACTAATAAGTCATAAGATTAATTATGAAATCAATATTTGAAAGCATACCTTTGGATTTTTAAATACAAAAAAAGTTTGATTATTCAACATCATCTAATTCCAAAGAATTTATTACACGTGTTGCTATCACAAGCCATGCTGTATCGTATGGTACCAGTGACCCGTATGTCAACCTTGACCCCACAGCATTGCGCACTCGAGTGATAATGTAAACAATTCTACTATTCTATTTTAATATTATTTCATCACATCATACTTGTTTCCTTTTGAGATTTTGTTTATGGAATGATGAGGTTAATACTGTAATTGTAAAACAATTAATCTGTCAATCAGTTGAGGCTATTTAATGTTTGGCAGCGAGTGCTAATAACGTATACAAATGTCAAAACTTCCAGCAGGGGGGGGGGGGGAATTTAGAGTCATTAACTTGTCGAGACTTATTACAAATGACAAGTGCTATTTGAAATATTTATGTGGTCTTAGTGAAAGAAACCAATGTTATGGCTATCATTCCTGGGTTTGAAAGTCAAGTATCATATGAAAACGAATACCGATTAGTAATTTTTTGAACCGGTTCAACAGTGCAACCAAACCCATGACCCGTTAACCGAGTGACCGTTTACATCCTTAATTTCGGGACTAACAAATGGTTCAATTTTATTTCAATAATTTGCTTGCGCGTAGGGGTCTTTAGCAGTGGGAGGAATGGGAGGAAACCGGAAAACCCCGAGAAAACCCACAAGGTTGGACAGGCGACCCTACTCCTTGTCACGTACAACCGGGGAATCGAAACCACGTCAGTAAACTCAATGACAGACCTTATGATGCACGTGCTAACCATTCAGTTATCCAACCCCCCTTTTGGATTTGTCAAAAAGTTTTCATCATAACTTACTTGCCTTGATACCAGCCAGAATGTTTTGGATATGTTAAAAAGTTTTTCATAATAACTTACTTGACTTCTAGTGATGCTAATATAAAACACATTGTACTCATTCTGTTTGGTCTTTCTTCATATATCTGATGAAATTCATTTAATGCATGTACCACTATCTTTCTAGCCTACAAATACAAAAGATTCCAGAAACTCTATAATCAAAAAACGATTTAATTGAATACAGTTTGTCAATCTGAGCATTACAGTCTCTCTAGCACTTTTAGTAACAATTTTTTTTTAAGGATATCTGAAGGATTTTGGAGGTAAATATCAGAGACAATTAGGAATTATTTAATTAGAATTACAAATACAAAACATTCTAGAAACTCTATAATCAAAAAATGGTTTGATTGAATACTGTTTGTCAATTTGAGCATTAGACAGTATCTCAAGCACTTTTTAGGAACAACTTTTTTTTAAAAGGATATCTGAAGGATTTGGGGGTAAATATCAGAGATAATTAGGAATTATTTGATTAAAACTAAAGTCATTTCATCATCCGAAATCAAATAAAAATGACTGTCTTCCATCTCTCTTAGTAAGACATATATTTTCCCTGTCTGTATCATTGGAAGTAATTTAAAGAAATTAAACCCTATTTCCAAGCGCCAAGGGATCTATTATGTGCACTGGCACACAAGACCATCACAAAAGATTTTTCTGAACCTAATTAAATGAAATGAAATGAAATGGGGTTTAACGTTCTACTGTTCTGCTCTGACTGAGCTAATAAAGATGGGCATACACCATACAGTGTGCTATGAGGGAAATTTTGCCCAGATAGCGGTGCTATGGCCTACTCTTATATCAAATTCCAACTGCCAAGGCATCTTTTATTTGCACACCAATGTGTGTCCCATCTGAATGACTAGATATCTGTCCTTGTTAGGGGTTTTAAATCCTAAGGACTTACAATTCTTTTGCTGTTTTTATTCTCATAATCTTTGAGTGTAGCATCCACCATTAACATCGTGGACTCATACCAGAAGATTTCATTACCACAATTTAAATCTTGTGCTGCTTTACAGAAGTTGATAGTCTGTCCATATTGAGCCTCTTTATAAGATAGCTGTGCTAATCTATATAAAATACGCACTTGTAAATCTTTATCACCAAACGCCTATAAATATAAAATATCAGATTATGAAATAACTTTGTTTATGCCAGGAGAATTATCAGATTTGATCAAATTTTCAAAATCAAGACAAAGATTTAAAACATAGCAATCAATGAATATATGACCTACCAGTACGTTTTCATGACAAGGGCAGTACCTCGACAAAAAATAATGTGTGACGATACAGGAACACTTGAAAAGGACATTTCCACAACTCTGACAACGTTTCTGCATTGAGGCAGCAATTTTGTGAAAATTGTCGCACAACTCTGAATATAATAAGGTGCTTCCTCAGAGCTAACCAAACTATTCTAGCAAGTTTGAAATTTTGCAAGTTGGGCCATTTTTGACATTCTTTGACTTGTATTAATATGACAATTGTAGCATTGTCCCAATTATCATATATTTTTAAGTATTTTTACACCAATTTTTTCTTATAAAAATTACACTGCTTTTATTGAGTTTTAAGGGTAAATTCTCTGAAATTCTAAATTTTTGGGGTGTAAATCATCTGGAAAATTCATTATCAGTCTGTCAAGACCGGTAAACTATAGGTCATTTTGGTACTAAGATATGTTTCAATTGTATTTCAGCAGAAGGAGGAAACTGGAACACCCATAAGATTGGACAGGTGATCATACTCCTTGCCACCACGTACAAGCGGGAAATCGAAACAGCGTCAAATGACTCAATGACAGACCTTGTGATATGACGCGCAACCATTAAACCACTAGCCCACATAACATCAGACGTTAAATTTATGCCATTTTCTCACGTAAATCTAACGTAAATATTGTGTAAAGTTGATGTCACTTACGTTAGTTTTACGTCATTTTCTGACGTAAATATAACGTAAAAATGACGTAAAGTTTACGTTACATTAAAGTCATTTCCTGATGTTAAATTGCTGTTAAAAGGATGAAAGAATGAGCAAAATGATGGAAATCTAACCGAGCATTTTAACATAAATTTAACATTAATTAAACATCATTTTTGGTTGCAATTCTAATCCCCATGACTGAAATAAGAACCACGCTGCCAACATCTTCTGTAGCAGCTATGTTAGAGTATAATACACAATGTACTTACTGTAGCAGCAATGTTAGCTTCATTAAGATAATTTCTAGCATGTTGATAATAACCCTATAAATATAAAATATACACAATTATAACCAATGACATTTCTAATTCTTTTATAGAAAAACAAAATTACTTCCTCAAAGAATTTTTAAAATGCAATTAAAAAGCACAAGGACTATCATTTGATGTTTGTACCAATTAAAATGCACAACAACTATGACATGTTGATGTTTGTACCCAGTTCTGTACAAATCTTTAAACAATTCCTGCAAGAAAACTAATGAAATTATGAGAACAAAGAAAAAATTAAGATAATTTAGTTTATTTGGTATGTGATAAATAAAGCAATATATAACCTTATACCTGTCTTATTAATACTTGTGCTATATCTGTCCAAATTTCTCGTATTGACACACCTCCTAAAACTTTACCCAGATGATTGATACTAACATCTTTCTCTTCCGTCTATAATTATAAAAAATGAAAATACTTCAAAAGAAAAATTTAGAAATATCATTCTGGATAATGTGTTCCATATATTTCATATTTCTTTAAATTTAACTGTATTCATAGTATTTTGAGATTAAATTTTTGAAATAATAATTTTACAGCTTGTAAATTGACTGACTAAATATGGTAAAAACAAAAGTTCTGCAACTCCGGGTAACAAGCTCAAAGGATTAACTTTTCAAAATCATTTAATCACACACTGAGAGGCGTCAAATAAATGTTCAAAAACATTTTTTCACTCAATCTACAGCTGAAAAATATCAATTCTGAATGATTCAGATTCAGATTCACAATGGAGTGCTTCAATGTATATCAATTCTGAATGATTCAGATTTGCAATGGAGTGCTTCAATCTAAAAATAATATATATATATATATATATCTACAAATTACCTTAGTTGGTACAAACTGTGTTCTGGATGCAAGAGTTCTTTTCTCTACTTTTCCTTCAGCGGCAAGTTTTGTCAACGTTTCTTTAACACGTAATTCTTCTCGTGAAACCTGAACTTGTTTTTCTTTCCATAGAGCAATTTCTTCTCTTGATCTAAGCAAACATAAATATTTTTATTTTAATCTAAAAGGAAGAGGATGAGTTTTAATCTTTAAGTGGCATTTAGCCATTGGGAAAACACATCAACAGAATACAATCACTGGTTTTATTCTGAAAGCATGATAATGTTAAGAGGATACCCGTCAAAACTTTGTGCTTTTAGAATACAACCAGTGATTATTTCCCATAAAAATTGTGTTCCGTTGATGAGGTTTAACATCACCTCAACACAGTATTTAAGTCATTTTAAGATTAACATGCAGTCATTTTTTACTTCTACTGTTACACATGTTTCCAATTCCAACAGCCAAGGGATATTTTACGGGAGCTATAAGTCATTATTTGTAAAGAAAGACCTACACAAACTATTCGATTCCGTCATCTATTTGCAGAGTACAGGGAATAGCTGTTATAGCAAGAGCACATGGTTTTGAAAATAATAGCATTGTGTCATTCTTTTTTTGAGATGTCTTCTTTTGCAAGTCTAGACATAAATTATCAGACATCATTTTCATCATTTCCATAATTTTTTGTTTTACTCTGATGATTGTCAAAATCATTATTGATGTATTCATAAGCTACCATTTTCATTAGCCCAGTTCGGAGCAGAACAGTAGGATGTTAAACCCCATTTCATTTCGTATTCATCAGTAACATCATCTCCATACCCATTTTTAGGAAAGTTACAACAATTTTTTCATTATTGAAATTTTAGTGAAAAAATGGTTGAGAATATGGTACTGTTTATAAACAGTGACTGACAGTTACTCTGATGACATATGAAATAGTTTTATACATACTGAGCTTGTTCTTCTTCATTTATCTCCATATTACCAACCATTCTCTCATGAAAACTACAACCACCTTTCAAACCTAATTCATGACAAACTTCTAAAGATCTGTAAAAAAAACAACCCAAAAAACATACTTTATTAAACAATAGATACAACAGATCAGGTTATGTGCAGCCTTCCAATAGCCATAACAATTCTTTCAACTCAAGAAAACGAGTCCTGTGAAACTTGGTGGCATGTTTTTTTATACAATAGATACAACAGATTAGACCACGTGCAACCTTCCAATAGCCATAACAATTCTTCCAACACAAGAAGATGGATCCTGTGTAACTTTATGGCTCCCGAAAGCTTGCAGATGGTATCTGAATCCAAATTACTTGAAATCACAACAATGCTTCAAATAGGGCCCCATAATATATCTGGTTTGTTAATTTTACTGTTTTTAAAGTTACCTTATATGGAAGAGATTGGTCATAGCCTTGTTATTCAAGATACTACGCGACAGTAAATCTTGAAATGCCAGGACTGGTAGAGCAAGATGATTGTAACCAAGGGTACGTAACTCTGTCACTAACTCATCTAAATAATGTGATGTCAGCATCTGTAAACAGAGAATCTTGTTGAAGTCACGAAATAGGATTGACACATGATTACCATATTATTACACGCAAAGCAGAATAAGGAATTGTAAATCCCTATATCAAATAATCTATAAAAAGGCAAACTACATACTCCTCGCAGAGTTAGTGCTAAATGATAAGGCCAGCTCAGTTTTTCGCCATAGGTCACGAGATGTAACTGGGATAGCGCTAATCCTAACCTTAACCCTGGACCTAGCCCCAATGCTTACCCTAACCCTAACCTACAATCTCACCAACAATCACATGTCCTAACCTTATTTACATCTCAGCAACCTTGACAAAAATTGAGCTGGCCTTAACAAATAGATTTAGCTCTCCTCACAGAGTTTCTTTTCATTAAAACTAATCACACTCAAACACAGCAAATCTGGCTGATGATTCGTGACCCAAATTATGACTGGCTAACAGTCAGGTTAACAACCAATCCATTACAGTGTAACAGATCAATCGAGATTAACCACAGCTCTAGAAATGTAACATAAAAGTGTATAATGACAATTGCAGCTACATTAGGTCACAATACACAAAATTCATTAAGCGCAAAAAATTAGAGAATAGCAGAATATAACCAAAAACTAATTGTGTGGTAAAATAGGCTTTCCAAACTGCAAACATAAACATTGTCATTCAGAATCTGTTGAAGAGATTTTATTGGACAATGAAATAGATACACTCCATCAAAAACCCAAGTTTCAGTTCCAAGTGCAGCAATGGCTAGAGAGTGCTTTCTCAGGCCATTGCTTCAGGAATATCGGCAAACTACAGTTCAGACATGCCATGTTTACAAAAATTCTTGTATTTACTTGATTTTCTTCAGTTATTGGATTGAAAAAATTAAATTTCTTGAACATATAATATGTTGGGGGCAATACAGACACCTATGATCAGTGATTTTTCTACTTACAGGTTTTTTAATAGTTTTGGTATTGACTCCTAATTTCTTCATAGATTCATGTTTAAAAGCTTCTAAAACCTGCAAATAAATAAAGATATACCGTTATAATACAAACATCAATTTCATCACCAGCACCAAAAACATTCTTCTTATTCAGAAGCAGTTAACAACAGAGTTATAATTTGGAGATAAACATATGATAAGTTTTATATATATGGTTATATGTGCCACTTGAATAGGAATGAAATAGGGTTCAACGTTTTATTTGAGCTAATGAAGATGAGTCTGCAGTGCGGTATGAGACAAATTTAACTAGGATTACAGTATTTCAATTTGCTCTCTGTTGATTTCCAACTGTCAAGAAATGAAATGGGGTTTAACATCCTACTGTTCTGCTCCGACTGGGCTAATGAAGACGGGCATACTGTGTACTATGAGGGAAATTTGGCTGGGACAGTTATGCTACGGCCTACTCTTATATCGACTTTCAACTGTCAAGTGATCGTTTACGTGCATGCCAATGTGTACACGGGACCTAGGTTTTTCATCCCATCTGAAGCACTAGACAGACTCTCCGTCCTGCAAAATTGACAAGGAGAAACCACGTGCACAGTGCACACCCCAAAACAGCTATCAAGAGAATGTAATCAGTTAGACCTAGTTCATGACCAATACCCCATTATTCTGAGTTTATGTAAAGTTAATCTTAAAGTTCAGTATAAAGTTAAAAGGCCTGCACAGTAAAATATTTAATTTACATGTGTTTTGTGCAACATGGTCCTGAATGCATTACCTACTAATAGACTATGAAGTGGCATTTGGAATTATGGACCAATAAATCTATGTACATATAAGACAATATAAATTGAATATTTTTTATTTACCTCATCTGGAACATCATATACTGCCCATTCCTCTGTTGATGATGGTAAAACATCTAATGGTCCTTTACGTTTTGGTTTCTCTTTTACAACCTGCATCATACAATATATGTTTACCTGATCCAATAATACTTTTACATGATACAATAATACTTTAACACGACACCAAAAAAAGGGGACAGACAGAAAGATGATGGATGTAAAAAAGGACAGAGCACATTTCGGTATCTCTCTATTTCAGTCAAAATGTGCATAATTACTGAATTTCCATGTTTTTAGATATTGTATTTAAAAATTGTATAACTTTTACCTCTTTTTCTTTGTCTTTTTTGCCTTTAGATTTGGCTGATTTATCACCGACAGCGGCTGTTTCTGCTGGTGAGTTTTTAGCCAGTTCTTTTAATGTATTACCAGAGTATGTTACAGAAACCTAAAATGAAAGAACCAAATAGTTACTTTAAGCAACATTCCCATCAACTTTAATTTTGTCCACAATAGGAGTGACAAAATAAGGCCTCCATAAATCAAGTTTTGTAAAATGAGGTTTAATATTAATTTACGAAGGTGGGCAAACACCATGCAATGTGGTAAAAGGGGAATTTTACTACGACAGTAGGGTTTCAGCTTATTATTCTGTGATTTCAGCCTATCATTCTTCGATTTCGAAGTGTCACGGTTTCTTTTACATACACGCTAGTTCACATGGAATACCATTATCCATAGCTACAAGAATGTAGCTAAAAATGTTCAGATATAGTTTGGTTTTTTTTTTTAGCTACGATTGGGTGCCTTTAGTTTCACCTGGCAAACTTAATTTCTTTATTAATGTATGTAACATCTTTTAAAAATAAGTTAATAATTGTATACTATTAGGACTAATTAAACATTCTCAGACCAAACACGCAGGGTTTATCTACAATATCCATAATGCACTATGAGGGGAATTTTCCTACAGCCTACTCTTATTTTGATTTCCAAGTGTCAGGGATCTTTAAAGCGTTGCCAATGGTGTATGCAGAATCTAAGTTTTATAAGAAGAGTTGATTTACATAAATATATATATCCTACCTGCCAGATACGTTGTAAATATCCATACGCCATGAGTAGTGTATCTTTATACTGCGGTGAACCACGACCGTGTAACTCCGCAAGTATAACATGAGCTCGAACCAGATAATCTAGTTGTTGTAGATCTGTTAAATCATCCATAACCATATTAACATTTGTCAGACCAACACCTGAAAAAGTTCCATGACAATTTTAACCATACATGCACATTAGATCATAAAGCAATTTGATTAAATTACAGATCTATATTTCATTTAGTTTTTTTTTATACTTTCGATGGCCTCTGAAATGAAATGAAATGGGGTTTAACGTCCTACTGTTCTGCTCCTATACTGGGCTAATGAAGACGGGCATACGCCATACAGTGTGCTATGAGGGAAATTTTGCCCGGGCAGCGGCACTATCGCCTACTCTTATATCGAATTCCAAGTGCCAAGGGATCTTTTACGTGCATTCCAATGTATACACGGGACCTCGGTTTTTCGTCTCATCCGAAGGACTAGACAGCTGTCCTTGTCAGGCCCTCCGTTGTGCTCCACTGACAAGGGGAAACCACGTCGGAAAATCCAGATGAACTTTCTCCGCCAATGCAGGGATCGAACACCCGACCTCCAGGCTAGCGAGCCTGCGTCTTAACCAACCAGCCACCGTGGCTCCTCGATGGCCTCTACTACATGAAGATTTGACCAGTTGTAGTTGTAGTACGAGCAGCTTTTGACCCTATGATGTCAGACATTTGATTAACCAATCAGCGTTGATGTTTCTAGTAGGATACCAACAATTCTGTGCATCGCACACCAAGAACTTGCTGCAACCGACCGTTTCATTGACTAAATCCTCACATCATCCAGAACGCTGGTTATATAACAACTCTTCCTGATCCTAGTGTAGTATAGACAAGTAAAACAAAATTTTGAACTATAAAAAACAAGACGAAATAGGATCTGTGTTTTAATCAGATTGATAAAGTGGTTTCGATTCTCCACTTGTATGTGACAGCCTTGTGGGTTTTCTCCAGGTCTACTACATGTAGTTTCCTCCAACAGCCACGGACCCCTAAGCGCAAGCGAATTATTGAAATAAAATAGAACCATATGTTAGTCCTGAAATGACCTAGTTTGTGTCAAGTGGATGTTAAACCCCATTTGTCTCTCTCTACATACAATGGAATTAAAATTCCAACCTATTTCTGCTTCTTTAGTAACAGGAACATAATCTTCGGGATTTATTTCTTCTTCTGTTTTATCATCTTTCTCTTTTGTATCATCAGTTTTTTCTGTTGGTTCCACAGCAGCTGGTTTCTCCAGATCAGGAGATTTGGATTTCTTGGCTGACAATTTTCCTCCTTTTTTCTTATCTTTTTTAACACCTGCACCACAAATAGAAGAAATCTTTAACAACATCAGTTAATTAAACTTCTAGGTTTTAATGTAAAAGAAAAAGATATCTTATTTAAGATCAGATTAAAACTTGTTTTTATTTTTTTTGATTTCGTGCAGTAAGTCAAGAATTTAATTGAAAAATTGGAAGTGACATTTATTATAATTATTAATTAACTTATAAAGATGAAATCTGTGCAATATGTCAGTTAATTAACTGATTCAGAGAAAGTTTAAAGAAGGGTGCACCATATGGAACTAAGTGTTAGTAGGTAAGAGGGTGGTAAGCTTGCGATGGTCATATACATACTCCTCTAACTTTAGCTAAGGTCGTACTTTACTAAAATAAACTGTATGTATTAAACGTCAAATTATGGATAGTGTTCAAACAAATATTCAAATCTCAATAGTTTTTCAAAAATGTCAAGGGTTTTCCACTGATTTTTTACTATTCATTATTTGATGTCACTTAAAACTAATTGGTTTTGATTTGTTTTTATCTCCTATGATATATTTACTTATATTAAATGAAATCAACCAATATTCAAAAATAAACAAACAAATAAAAGGAAATTTGAATTGATTTATAAAATCTAGAAATGTCAAAATGCATAAAAAATGGCCAAGAAATTTCTCATTTCAATTGAACCAAATATTTGAATAATAAAATCAGCATTAAAGGTGGCCCACTAATTATGGAAGCAGATTGATATTTACTGAATGTTATAATTTTAAAATATTAACATGTACAAAACATCATGATGCACGATGCTAAAGAAATTGAAAATCCGAGAGTAACTAATTCCATAACAAATTTAAAGATACATTATGTAAGATTTAGATAAAGAACTAGCCATTCTTGCTATAATAGTTCGAAAGTAGATGACGTAAAATGAATAATTTGAAAATTTAATTACTAATTAATACTTTAGAAAACATTTCAGGCCTAAAGAAAGACCTGCAATAGGCAGATTTAGCTCTTGCATAATGCATGTTTAACTTTTGCTTCTTTTATATGTTAAAACTTCTCAAAGCGTCATCAAGACTGCGAAGAACTAAGTTCATTTGGTTTGGCCTAAAGTACATGTACGGCATTAGCTATTATTAGAACTGTGTATATGACATTAGCTGTTAGAACTGTGTATACAACATTAGCTGTTAGAATTGTACAGCTGTTAGAATTGTGTACATATAACATTAGCAGTTAGAACTGTGTATACAACATTAGCTGTTAGAACTGTGTATATACAACTCACTATTTCTACTTACTATTTATATTTGTTGTTGAATCAGTTTCTACAATCAGGACAGATAGCAAGAGGGAGAGAGAGGAAAAAAAGAAAGATTAGAAATATTAACTACAAAGTTTTTATTTATATGGGATATTGAACAGATCGACATAGAAATAGATGAAGCCAGATGGGGTTGGGTGTCACATCTATAAAGTTGCATGTCCAATCAAATAGCAAGGTGAAGCTACATAGCACCTAAGGCAAGCATTCTGTGCAAATATCTGACACCAATCTTTTAGATAGCTTTACCATAATACCAGCACAATAATTATTAAGAAACTGCTCTTAGTGGTGCCTAATTTAAATGACACTGAAGGCATGTGCCATACCTACCATATCTTAGATATGGCATTGTAAAAAACACCACTTTTGGGCTAAGTTTATTCTTGTATTCTACTCTCCCACCAACCCCCTTCTCCATTCCCATAGTAAAACTAGTCCTACATCACAGAATATCAGAGAAAAGTGAAAATAGTTGCTACAAGATCTACACAATATTCAACAGAAATATTATTTTTCTAAAATAGCATAAATACAGCACAATAGAAGCCAATAAAAATGCCCCAAAATTGCTAGAATTCTTTTTTTAATGAAATAAAATATGCCAAAGTTTAAAAAATAAATGAAAGCATCTTATATTTTTAAAAAAGCTCATAATAATGTCTACTGGTTATTGATTTTTTATCAACTTTTGTACCTTTTCTATTTTTCCTTATTGTGGGAATATCTAAGCACAAAAATAAATATATCAATTATGATACACATAAAATTCTCGTGGAAACACCTGAATAGCATTATGACCAGGTTGAATTTATTCTAAAATTATTATCTAATTCTTTATTTTAGGTATGATCGAACACCTGGTCACAGCATCCTAACTGATACTCTCAAGTCAAACTCAACTCCTTCTGTTAAAGCTTTTGAAGGACTAATAAGTTTGCAAATGATATTAAAAGAAATGTCTGATGATTCTTTTCTGTTTTTTAACCAAAGGACATTTTTGCCATTCTAACTAGCCAAATATAAAGATTTAAGTACTATATTTTGTTTTAAACAATATTTTTATTCGGGATATCTGAATAGGCTTAACCTATGTAAAACACCTCTCAAGTATATTATGTAATTAAAAACAAAACAAGTTGTTAAGAGTAGTTTTTATAAGTTGTGTTCAATAAGAGTGTATGTTTTATCTGTTGTGTTGAGCGGCAAGGTCAACATACAGCAGCCTTTCATATAGAAGAAGCATGGGATGAAGTGGGGATAAGCATAGACAAATATAGCTTGCCAGGCAAGGAAACATACGCTCACAGAAGCCCAGTTCATAAATGTTGTTGCACAATCCATAAAAATTTCAAGCAGATCGGATTCTAACTTCGGTTGATAGGTCATTCACAAGGATATAAAAAGTGATCAACGGCAATAACTCTGTAAACTATGATCAGAAATTGCTGAAATTCAATACGCTTCTTCGTCTCACTAAATCAAGTACAATGTATAAATTTTATAAAGATTGGATGGAGAATTTAGACGAAATTATGGATGACGGACCGATGGACAGATGGGGGTGACAACAAAATACGACCACATTGCAATAGTATTACATATTTTATATTAGATTCATATGATTATAATCCATCAATTTCGTGTTTCTTCTCTTTTAAATGTTTTAAATTTACACTTAACAGTCAACATCTGAAACTTTAATGACTATCTTTAAAATCTGATTTGAGAACATTACATGAAGATCAAAAAATTAAAGAATTGGCTATTCTCTAACAAAAGTGACATTCTTTACATCAATCATAATACTTCAGAATATTAGCTCTAAATCTGAGTCTCCTGTTATTTTAATCAGAAATACCTTGCCCCCGAGTTCACAAAGCATTCATGGAACTTAAGTTACGAATTTACTCCAAATTGTTCGCCTTATTTCAACTAAAGTATAGCTCTTTATAAAACTTATTATGTTTTAATGTATCAAATACGTCAATAAGAAACTATGTGCAAAGTTTTGTGTTTCTGGGTCAAAGATATTTCTCAAAAGTTGAGTTAATTCTTAATTAAGTTTGAGAATGCTTTGTGAACTTGGGGCCTGTTTATTTTTTTAAATGAATTGTGAGATTTAAATGAATACATTCTTTACATATCTGCGTCACAAGTTATTTTTTATCAGAAATACTATATAGAGTTCCTTACCTTCCTTTTTAAGTAGTGGAGCCTCATATTTCATATTGAGTAAGATATCTATAGCCCATTCTACCTGATCCACACAGTCGACTAACGGGAACTGATTTATATATAACCATTGAGCAAACTCTAATAAATAATCTATTTTCAACCAATCATATTTACTAATCTAAAATAATTCAAATAAAATATTTATACAGGTAATATTCAATAAAAGGGAATTAGTAAAAATAAAATGAGAAAAAAAAAATTTTTAGCGTCCTACTTTTCTGCACCAACTGGGATAATGAAGTGAGAGAGAGAAATGGGGTTTAACAACCACTCGACACAAACAAGGTCATTTCGGGACTAACACATGGTTAAATTTTATTTCAATAATTCGCTTGTGCGTAGGAGTCTTTAGGAAACCGGAAGACCCGGAGAAAACCCACAAGGTTGTCACGTACAACCTGGAAATCAAAACCATGTTAGTAGACTAAATGACAGACCTTATGATACAGCATGCACGTGCTAACCATTCGGCCATCCAACCCCTCCTTTAGTAAAAGAAATATTTTCTTACAGTGAGAGCTTGTATAGCATTGTGATATGATTTACTTACAGTGAGAGCTTGTATAGCATTGTGATATGATTTACTTACAGTGAGAGCTTGTATAGCATTGTGATATGATTTACTTACAGTGAGAGCTTGTATAGCATTGTGATATGATTTACTTACAGTGAGAGATTGTATAGCATTGTGATATGATTTACTTACAGTGAGAGCTTGTATAGCATTGTGATATGATTTACTTACAGTGAGAGATTGTATAGCATTGTGATATGATTTACTTACAGTGAGAGCTTGTATAGCATTGTGATATGATTTACTTACAGTGAGAGCTTGTATAGCATTGTGATGTGATTTACTTACACTGAGAGCTTGCGTAGCAATCTGATATGATTTACTTACCGTGAGAGATTGTATAGCATTCTGATATGATTTAAGTTGTTCCGCTGTAACTCGAGAACTAAGTGCTACTCTTCTCCACATGTGTGCTACATAATCTTCACTTTCATCCTGTAATAAATACAATACAGTCTAGATCTTGACCAATTTACTTCACATTAAACCCTTTAGGGCTAAATCTCAACGTTATGCCATCTGATGAGAAAGTTCTTTAAGTATGATTATTGTAGACTGAATGACCATGACTAATAAACGATTAGAAGCCTACTGATCTTATCATTCTGCACACAGAAAACTATCTACTTCGAGCATAGATCTCTGCCCTGAATGACCGCCATATCCAAATATTTGTGTACTATTTTGTGATGTGGTTCTACTAAATTTCACATCTCGTCCCCTGAGAGGGAAAAGGTCGTAAGTGACATTTTTCACTTTTCGAGAAAATCGAGTTTAAAGGTTTGAAAATGGTCCTGTAAAATTGTTTATTTATTGTTTTTTCTAATATTTTGTACAGTATGTTATGATTGGGAATAGCTAGAAATGCAATATAAAGTTTTCAGTTATCAGGTGTGGTAACTCGGAAAAGTCACTTACGACCTTTTTCTACTCTCTACCTATAACCAAAGATACATACTTATTGCTGTTTACGACCTTATGTGATTTTGCCATGGGGTGGAAGTTATATTGGTCTTACGGGTACGCTTTGGATCTTAAGGTCTGTAATTGAGTTAAGTGGCATGGTTAACAGTATGGTAGCCTGCTCAACCTCGTTGGGTTTTCTCCGACTTTCTATCATTGATACAGACCCCTACGCGCAAGCAAATTATTGAAGTAAAATTATGGCCTAGTTTGTGTTCAGTGGATGTTATACCCCTCTCTAACCCCAGACCCCTCTTCCCTCTATCCCTCACGCTATCTTGATACCTTTCTCTGGCTCTCGCGCGCACCCTCCCTGTCAAGCCTCACGGTATCGTACAACCTTCTCTCTATCTCACTCTCTTCACCTCTCTATCTCGCCCACTTGTTATCTCGCTCTAGTCCCCACTCTCCCTTGCTGTGCCCCCCCCCCCCCCCTGCTCTCCCTTCTCTATCGCTACTCCCTACCCTTGCTAGCTCCCTCCCTACCACCCTCAGCCTTTAGCTCATTCTCTCTCTCGATCTCTTCTATCCTTCTCACAGTAGATTGATAGTATCATCACATCGCAGGCTTATCACTATCTCTCTCTAACCCCCCACCCCCTCCGCCCCTCACCCACTAGATTGCTCTCCTCATATCGATAGTTCTCTTTAGACCCCGCCCCATCTCTCCATCTCTAGCTCTCGCCTTCTATCTCGCTAACTTCCTAGGTCTCTATCTCACGCGCTCTAGCTTTCTCTCTAGCTCACGCCCTCTCTCCCGATCTTTCTTGCTCTTTCTCTAGTTCTTTATCTTGTGGATTCTCTCTCTTTCTATCTCTCTCTAATAGTCTAAGCTTACTCTCTAGCTCTCGCCCTTCTCTCTAGCTTGTTCTCCCTCGAGGTCAAGCTCTCCCTCACCTCTTTCTTTTGCGAGCTAACTCCCTACCCCCCCCCCTTAGGTTGTTCTCTGTAGCCCCACCCCCGCCCTTCTCTCTCTCTCTCTTCTCGAGGGACAAGTCTCATCCCTTGGCAGCCAACTCTCTAGCGCTTTTTGACCTCCCCACTCGCCCTCTAGCTATCTCTCTCCCTCTAGCTCCCTCCCCCCTTACCGATAACTCTCTTAAGTCCCTCCCTCACTAGCCCATTCTGTAGCTGTCACTTTCCGTGTCGCTATCTCTCTAGGTCTCTCTCTATCTTACGCTCTCTAGCTCTCACCATCTCTCTCTTTCTCTAGCTCTTTCCATCTTGTTTCTTATCTTTCTCAGGGTGTGTGTGTGTGTGTGGGTTGGGGGGTGGATGGCCGAACGGTAAGCATGTGCGTGCTGTATCATAAGGTCTGTCACTGAAACAACTGGCGTAATTTCGATTCCCCGGTTGTACGTGACAAGGAGTATGATTGTCTGTCCAACCTCGTGGGTTTTCCCCGGGTCCTCCGGTTTCCCCACTGATAAAAGACCCCTACGCGCAAGCGAATTATTGAAGTAAAATTGAACCAAGTGGACGTTAATCCCCATCTCTCTCTCTCTCTACTCTTAAGCTCGCTCTCTAGCTCTTGTCCTCTCACTATAGCCCTCGTCCTCTCTAGTTCGCTCTCTCTAGCCTTCGCTCCCGCTAGCTCTCTGTCCCTAGCCCGCCTCTCTAGCTACCCCCCCCCATCTCCCTCTCTATAGCCCTGTCTCTCTAAGTTACAATGTGGATCTCTCTTTCTCGCTCTCAGCCCCCACCCCCCTCTCTCTCTCTCTCTCTACTCCACTCTTAAGCTCGCTCTCTAGCCCTCGTCCTCTCTAGTTCGCTCTCTCTAGCCCTCACTCCCGCTAGTTCTCTGTCCCTAGCCCACCTCTTTAACTACCCCCCCCCCCCCCTCTCTAGCTCTCTATAGCCCTATCTTTAAGTTACAATGTGGATCTCTCTTACTCTCTTTCTCGCTCTCAGACCCCCCCCACCCATCGCTCCTTCTCTCTCTCTCTCTCTCTCTCTCAAGGGGCGTCTCATTGCATTACAACCCTCTCTCTATCCCTCTCTAGTTCCCATTCGCACTAGTGTGTACGCATACCGTACTACAGTCCATTGAAACGGCGAACGTGGGGTATTAAAAGCGTCTCTTACATGCAGTATCGCAAAAAGGCCCCCCTACAGCCCCGTTCTTTGTGTAGTCTACTGTGAAAAAAAAACCACAACACAATTTATATCGAAAAAACAATCACTGTTTTGTACACATATAGCACGACGTTTCGACAAGTATCCCCTTATTGTTATCAAGCACAAAACGACAACGATAAGAGGATACTTGTCGAAACGTCGTGCTATGTGTGTACAGACCAGTGATTATTTTTTCCATATAAATTGTATTGTGTTTTTTAATGTGCCCAATCCCTAAATGTCACTCAAGGATTAAAGTCCACTGCGGGTTGATCAATTTTAAACACTACTATCGCAAAATGAAATGTACACAGGCTTTTGTGGGAAAGCCAGAAAGAAGTTTGCCAGAAAGAAGTTGCTACTGCACATATTTAAATGTCACTTACGACCTTGTTACACTGCCATCAGTGTACTTACTACCTTTCTCCGGTGACATCTTGGTAAAGTTTTCCACTTACTACCTAATATTAATTACCCATATTGTAGTTTGTATCATTGCAATTGTCACCATTGTTTGTTATAACCTGGAGGGGTCAATTTATAAAGTTTTGGTGCAAAAATATCAAATTTGCCTGTTTTGTCACTTGCGACCTTTTACCTCTCAGGGGACGATCTGTCATACACACAAAGATGAAATAAACATGTTTAATTTAATTAAATGGTACTGGAATAAATACTTCTCAAAATTCTCAAACTATACTCAGTGTTTTTGACTAAAATTGTTGATTTGGGTAACAAAATGTCGGTCAACTAGCTTAGTGTCTTATCTCAAGCGGTGCTAAATGTACATATGTAGACAAACAGCGTAAGTTTAGTATGCTGATCTTAGCTGACATCATTCTAATCAATCAAGTGATATAGTTAAATAAGGAAACATAAATAGAGACCATGTCAAAAAAACTTTCTTTCTTGTCTTTATGAAGTTATATAAATCAGTTCTCAATTTCATGCAACACAATATATGATAATTACAATAGTATATAATAGACACTAAGTGTATGTGAAGTCATGCAAGTACTGACAGAATCAATCTGATTAAAACACATATACTATTTCGTTTCGTATTTTATAGTTCAAAATTTTGTTTTACATGTCTTTACAACACTAGGATCTGAAAAAATTGTTATATATCCCACGTTCTGGATGATGTGAGGGATTAGCCAATGAAACGGTCTGTTATGGCGAGTTTTTGGCGTGAGGTGCACAGAACTGTGGGTAACCCACTAGAAACGTCAAAGCTGATTGGTTAATCACATGTCTGGCATCATTGGGTCAAAAGCCACTCGTATGACCTCTGACATGACCTCCTACTACAACTGATCAGATCTTCATGTAGTAGAGTATAAAGTAAACGAAATGAGATATAGATCTGTATTTTAATCAGATTGTAGTAGAATGATAAGTATACATCATATAAAACATTTACATTCCATTTACATTCCATTTACATTCCACTTTATTTCTGATCTATTGCATGCCTGTTCTATTGCATTCCTGTGACATAGTTTACAATAACCTTACTCAGACTCAACAAGGCTCACTTCTAGAGACATAAATAAATGTTTCTATAATAATAGATGACAACATGTGTGTAATATATGTTTCATTCAATATTCATATCCGTGTAAAATAATTGGTTTCTTAAGTATTTTTAAAAATTCGTTTTTACCCCAAAATATTTTTCTTCTTCCTATTTTTCATTGAAATAGAAACAAAAGGTTAAAAACTTAGCAATAAACAACAAGGACTCAAATTTGGTTAATTTTTTTCAAATTAATTTGGTTAATGTTTTTTTTTTCCAGGTCTGCAGACCTGATTTGGTGAAGACAATGATCTGTGAATGTAAATCTACTGTACTGCTCCAAACAACATTCACAAATTTATTCCATCCTTTAAATCAATGAAATAAGTGGGAAGGCTTGTGTCAATCTGTTTCACAGAGGGTAATGCGATTACAATACTGCTGTATAACTGGCCTTTATATATGTTCAAATTCCCTCTAGATGTGACCTAACATCAAACCGCGTCAATCTTTGACTCGATAGCTTTGGCATTGTTTACATAACGTCTGGGCAGAATATTAATGGTGCCTTTTAATCATTTTATATACCATTAATACTTAATAGGAAATATTTTTTATCCAGATATACTTTAAACACCTTTATTTTTTGTCTAATACTTCAAAAACAAATGTTTTTGAATTAAATTTGAAGAAAGAAAAAAGTTAATATACTATTCAAAAAAAGTAGGGGATATTTGATTTTTAAGTGTTATTAAAGTCACCTAATGAAACTGACGAAGAAACAAATGACAAAATGAAATGAAGTTCACATTCATCGATTTATTCCAAATGATCGTTAGACTAAGTAAGGCACAGACTGACCATTATAAGGGTAAAATGATACCCGGGGTCAAACAGCAAAGTTACCACAGCATCACAACCAAGTCAGTAACGGGTAAATCCTCCTCTGTTTGCCAAACAAGCATTGATCCGACGTGGCATACTCCTAATGAGACGTCTAAGGTCATTTTGGTCCAGATTGTCCCATTCCTGTTGCAACGCAGCAGCAAGTTCTTGGACATTGGCAGGACGTTGTTGACGTTGACGTAACCTCTGTCCAAGCATGTCCCAGACATGCTCGATGGGGGAGAGGTCGGGACTCAGTGCTGGCCAAGGTAATGTGGTGATGTTCTGTTGTTGGAGGTAACCTGTAACGATCCTGGCCCTGTGACATCTTGCGTTGTCATCCTGGAAGATGAAACGGCGGTCATGACGTCGTGCGAACGGCACAACATGGACTGCCAAGATGTTGTCCCGGTAGTACTGGCCTGTAACACGCCCTGCAACAACATGTAAAGCCGTTCTTCCAGCAACAGTGATGCCTCCCCACACCATAACAGAACCACCCCCAAATCGATCATGTCTGATGACGTTAACGTCTTGGAAGCGCTCGTTTCGACGACGCCACACCCTCCTACGTCTGTCCAAAAAATCAACAGTGAACCTTGACTCATCTGAAAACATCACATTGCTCCAGCGTCGATTATCCCAGTGTTGACGATCCCTACACCAACGACGTCTTGCCTGAATGTGATGATCTCTCAAACAAGGGATCACGCGAGGACGTCGGGCGCGAAGGTGACCCCTATACAGTCGATTCCGAATCGTCTGGCCACTCACTCTCACACCAGTGTCTGTTTGAAGACGAGCGCTGATCTGATTTGCTGTGATGACACGATTTCTCAAGGCCAAGGTACGGATAAATCGATCCTGGGCTTGAGTTGTCGCCCTTGGTCGACCTGAGCGTGGACTGTCCTGTACAGATTGTGTATCACGGTATCTGGACCATAGCCTGCTTATGACAGACTGAGAAACATTGATCGTCCGCGCCACAACCGCCTGTGTTGTGCCGATGTGTAGCATGCCAAGGGCACGTAACCTTTCATTTTGGGTAAGCCGACGCATATCAAAATTTGTTTTCTGGTCACTAAAACAATTAAACTGATGTTTCCACCCTGGAATTCAATGCCACAATGACTGTAACATTCAAAGTCAGAGTCGTGCAAATCTTGGGTTGGACCCCCATGATGATCCCAAGCATCACCTGCATTCCATGCGGTAGCTATTGGTGCGTTTGGGCGTCACATGTAACTGGAAATGTTTCTTCTGTTAGGTTCTATAGTGACTTTTTTCGTAGTCATTTGCATATTTTAGTATTATGCCCCCAAAATCAAATATCCCCTACTTTTTTTGAATAGTATATTATTAGTTCATTAACCATCACTGACGTAATCCCTCTCAGTGATATTAGCGGTCTAACGAATATTCACTGCTGATCAGTGTGGGACTGTGTACCTATTGTACCAGTATGTATAAATGAATCAACTTGCATTGGTTTCCTATGACAGCAGAATGTGTTATTGTTGTCAAATGTAGAAAAGCAAATTGTAACATTTTTTCTATGACAGTGAAGTACCGATAATTGTATAATTTCTACGAACCCCAATAAAACTAAAACCAGCTATTACCTTAAATTTCTGTATATCCATATTAACATCTCGACCCAGTCTGGCTTTTACCATAACACGATGTTTAAATATTAACCTGAAATATTACAATAATGTCTTTATTTAATATAATAAAATTATTACAATAAAATATAATTATTACAATTTACAACCCTATATAAATACAACACTAAACTGTCATAATATCCCACCCTAATTTGGCAATTACTCAGCCAACAATTGTAATGAAAACTAGATGTAATAAAATTACATAGGAAAACTTAGCTTCAAGATTTTCTGGGCTGACAGACCCCATGCCCATATTCAAAGAGGTGTTCCAGTAGACAGACCTGATCCTGAACCACTCATCTACTGCAGTCCCCCAAAATGAAATGAAATGGGGTTTAATGTCCTACTTTTCTGCTCTGACTGGGCTAATGAAGATGGGCATACGCCATACAGTGTGCACAGGACCTCATTTTTTTTTTGTCACATCCGAACGACTAGACAGTTGTCCTTGTCCATCGAAACCATACCAGAAAATCCTGATGAACTTTCTCTGCCAACGCTGGGATTGAACTTGTGATCCTGAGACCTCCAGATTAGCGAGTCAGTGTCTTACTCACTTACCCACTGTGGCTCCCTGCAGTTCCCAAACAATGAAATATTTGTTATATAGAAACGTTTAAAAAACAAAAGTAGACTTACAATCTATGTTTAGTACGTGGCATGACTGTTACAGCTTGATCCATGGCATCTAATGATTCTTCCCATTCTCCCTGATAAAATTAAAAAATAAAACTAAATTATTCTGTAATGAAAAAACTGGATGAAGTCCACAAAATTAAATTTTGCAAAGACTAATTTTTTATGCTTGAAAGATCAACAGAACGAATGGTCTAACACATGTGCTTTAGATCATAAGGTCTGTCATTGAGCCATTTGTGGGTTTTCTCCAGGTCCTCCAACTTCTATAACCCCATAGAGAGAGAGAGAGAGAGAAATGGGGTTTAACGTCCGCTCAACACAAACTAGGTCATTTCGGGACTAACACATGGTTCAATTTTATTTCAATAATTCGCTTGCCCGTAGGGGTCTGTAGCAGTGGGAGGAGACCGGAAGACCCGGAGAAAACCCACGAGGTTGGACAGGCGACCCTACTCCTTGTCACGTACAACTGGGGAATCGAAACCACGCCAGCTGGCTCAATGACAGATCTTATGATACAGTGTGCACGTGCTAACAATTCGGCCATCCACCCCCCCCCCCCCTAAAACCTATAGAAGCACGCAAATTACTGAAATAATTTGTGCCATTTGTAAGTCCCATAATGACCTATTCATATCAACAGTCCGTCATTGAAGTAACGATGCACCATTTGCATTTTTCGCTAAATATCAAATTCTCATGACTTCGTCAATGCTGTATGTAGTCAGATTGATTATTTAATATCTAATTAAGAAAACAAAATCAAAATAATAAATCATTCGGATTTGAAAAACAAGACTACTAAAAAATGTTCACGCATAACAAAATGGCAGCAGGTTTATTACATAGTGAAGCAGTATGGATCAATGAAATTTCAAAGTCACATATCTTTGTAAATTGGACCACTTTTGAACTCCTATTCCTATTATAGATTCATCTTTCACAATATTGTAGTTTACAAGTGATTCCTATAGCGCTAAAACTTCACATCAGGATATTAATAGTGTTCTTATGTACTCCATTGATTGTAACAACTGAGTATGGTTGACACTGGAACAAGTTTTCCATTATCCCCGACAGTCTCCCCGATCTGCACTTGAAAAAAGAATCATAAAGTAAAACAGATATTCTACCTTGTCCGCATAAGCTTGGAATAAAACACCATATAAGGCTGCTCTTAACGTGAGGTCATCATCAGCTCCACCAACCATACGAGAGGATTTATTATCAGAGTCTTTTTCACCTTTAGTAGCATCTGCTGACTTGACCTTGACCTGTGTACCATTACTGGAATCACCATGACCATTGTGGGATGATTGCTCATCTTTATCCTGAAAAGATAAATTCAATCCATGTTCAAAAATATTCACTGTACATCACCTTCTTCTTTATACATACATTATGCAAGAGCTAAATCTGTCTATTGCAGGTCTGTAATGTTATATAAACTATTAATTGGACATTTATTATCATGAAAAGACCTTAATCAACTCTCGATGCCATCTTATGCGTCTGATTTTCACTGGATTTGAATCCGATCTGCTGCTCAATGCTCATTGGTGAATAAATCCATAAAATTGATAATCAAGACTAATTTTTTATGTACTGACTTTAGTAATGATGATCGAGGCTAGGCCTAAAATTCAATCGCTAATATCTCCATTCAGAGTGGTGTAATTTGCCTGAAATTTTCAGCACATTCCCTTTACATTATCTAGGTTTAAACTATTATAGTGAGAACTACCAGCTCTTTATCTAATCTCCCATAATGTATCTTTAATAATTAATCCATTAACCATTCTATGATGATGCTTTATTATAAATAAAGCAATATTTCATTTGTCTGTCTTTCATCCATCATGGATCCAGTCAGTCAAACAAATGAACAATGAAATTTCTTAAACTGATAACATATATAACACTGTTAAACATATCTGGTGTTCATTTCCAAACAGTTCAATGTTTTGATTTAAAAAACTGAAAGAAGCTATTTCTACATATATGTTGGCCTTTGATTTGCATATATACTTAAAACCACTGTGAAATCTGGAGATCGCAAGTAAAAGGATCTAGGGGCTACCAGTAAGCTAAACACAAGAAATTATTTTACCTCTTTCTTAACTGGTGTTTCTGCGGTTGCTGTAATACACTGTAACAAAACACGAACAGGTTCTTTTAAGAGCTCTCTTTCTATTGGTTGATTGACTAATGCCACACAGGCATTCCAATAATGTCGAGCAGCAGACATGACCAAGTTGTAGTTTTTGGCGTTTCGACCATATCTACAATAAAAATAATATTTTAAAAACCAATGCTAATCCAAAACATAGAATTAATGTATTGATGATGCTTGATTTTGAGTCCCAAAATATTTCGAATGGACAGCATAGCAAATGATACACGATTTTAGTTTTGTCAGGTGGGGAGAGGAGAGAGAGAAAAATGGGGTTTAACATCCACTCGACACAAACTAGGTCATTTCGGGACTAACATGGTTTTCCTTTTATTTCAATAATTCGCTTGCGCGTAGGGGTCTTTAGCAGTGGGAGAAAACCGGAGGACCCGGAGAAAACCCACGAGGTTGGACAGGCGACCCTACTCCTTGTCACGTACAACCGGGGATTCGAAACCACGCCAGTTGACTCAATGACAGGCCTCATGATTAATATATAGCTGTAATCAAACCTAGCACTGTTGAGAAAAGCCTCCATGGCTTGTCGTCTGTTGAAATTTTTTCCCGCCATATTCTCCATTAAACTCTGCCCCAGAATGCAACTGGTGTAACTCAACATTTCCTGTTCTACCACATAACGATGTCTGAAAATAGTAATAAGGAAATAAATAAACAATTTTTACGACAAATTTCAATGAAATATTGGGGGTTTTGGACAGGCGATGGTACTACTTAATTGTCATGTACAAGCAGTGAATTGAAACCACGCCGTGATCTAACACGCACGTGTTAAATCATTTGGTGTCACTCAACACCCGAAAGCCAAGACACAACAGTGAGCAAACTGAAAGGAATCTATATGCTAGGTTCCCACTATCACGATTCATGCTGCGATTGGAATCATGGTTTTAATCGTGGAGTAATCGTAGTTATCCTATCAGGTCTTATCATATATTGAGGTCAGTCATAAAAATCATGTTGATCGTATCGAAACGTATCCGCACGCAACAGATCGTAGACTCAAAAGGGACAGTCATATCGTAACACATCGCATGACAGTGGGAACATAGCAATACTATATTAATTTATTGACTTACGGTTCCATTTTTCTGTTTTTCGGTTGTGTTCCAACATTAACAAACCATAAAGCTTTCTCGCTACATTTTACCACCAGTGTATGTTGTTTTTGAGTGAAGGATAAATAAGTTAATTTAGTCCACAGTTGTAATTCTATAAACTTTTCAGTCCAACGACAATTCTCAACCATTACAGTAATCTACAAGAAATTTTAATAAAATTAACTGTTACTGAAAGTATCTCAATCATTCTTATTTAGTTTTCCCTTGTTAAGTTACATAAAAACAACAATATAGGCCTGCATGTAAAACAAACAATATACACATATGTTACAAACACAAGGGTGACATAAAATCATTTTCATGGAGAACAGTCCTGATCGTAGAAGGAACGTCTTTGGACGATTCACTTAACTTCATGAAGAATTAATATTTGTGCAGCTTTGATGTAGGTAGTCAATTTTTCCATATCGTCATCATATTACCCCTAGGTACAGCTTTCATCGAAATAACACTGGTACAGTAATCTGTTCGTAATTATTATTTTGGTTTGATAATGAAATGATCCAGGTTCTAGGGTCTGTCCCTCCCCCCCTCCAAAAGCTATGAAAAATCCACGCCCCTGATCATTTTATTTATTTGTGATTTATAAACTTGATAACGACTTGCGAAATCTTGTTGAAGACTATAATAAACTATAGTAATTGTTATTCATAAATAATGATTTAATCAACAATAAATGGAATAATGTTGTTTTTTTCATATTGAAAGGCATGAGCATATATCAAGATTCCCCCGCACACCAACTTCCTCTTCCTGGGAGGGGGGGAGGGGTGTATACAACTACTGATAATATAGCTAGTTTGTATTAATCTTGAATTGATTATAAAAATTCCAAACATACATGAAAATTAGCTAATTATAATATTTATAATTTCAAAAACAAAGTCATGATGCTTTACTACTGAATAATACTCACATCAGCTAATGGTGGCACTTCTTTAAATTCCATTATTCCATTTTTAGACCTTGATGCCATTTCTGTAGCCACGATTGCTTTAGTCATTCCTCTCTGTCCCTCCATATTAGTCTATATTAAAAAGACGATAAACATACAAATAAAGTATATATGAGGCAAAGAAACATACACTTACCAGCGGCTTATTCTCTTGTATGAGCCTCAAATTTTCTTTTTAAAAACATGTTTTGAAATATTAAATATAAATTTAATTTTGTTGGTTTGCTTGGATTTGATAGGGAGCCAAGGTGGCTAAGTGACTGGAGGTGGCGGGTTCGATGCCATTGTTGGCCGAGGAAGTTCATTGCCGTGGTTTCCCCTTGTCAGTGGTGCAGGACGGAGGCCTTGACAAGGACAGCTGTCTAGTCGTTCAGATGGTATGAAAAACCGAGGTCCCATGTACACATTGGCATGCACATAAAAGGTCCCTTGGCAGTTGGAATTTGATGTAAAAGTCGGCCTTAGTGCCACTGTCCAAGCAAAATTTCCCTCATAGCACACTGTATGGAGTATGGTCGTCTTCATTAGCCCAGTCAGAGCAGAACAGTAGGATGTTAGACACCATTTCATTTCATTTGGATTTGACGGTTTTGCTGAACCAAGACTCTCCTTTAAGTCATATCTGCCGGTCTTGACTGACTTACAGTGCAATTGACCAACATGAGGAATTCTAAAAAATATATACAGTGGATACAATATGCCGGATTAGACAGCATGTCAGAATACTCAAGTGGTGCCGAAGTTTGCCGAGTGTGTATTTGAAGTGAGAAACTCAAATCAAATAATAAGCGCTCTCTCTTACAAGTGATTATTAAATTATAGAGGTAATTAAAAAAGATCGACACATGTTTTATGCTCACAGATAATTGATTGGTGATTGCATGTTGGTTAACACCCACTGATTGAAGGCCGGACTATCTAATGTTAATTGAAGATGGGCATATGCTGTGCAGTGTGCTCTATGATGGAAATTTTGCCCAGACAGCAGTTGAATTCCAACTGTCAAGGCTTCTATACTCAGGAACCTTGCTTTTTCGTTCCACCTGAACAACTGGACCCTGTTCCTTGCTAGGCCCTCTATGCTGCACCATTAACAAGGGGAAACAGTGTGCATGCATACTAAACAATCTCTATAGCAACAAATGTAACCAACCTCATCATCTGTACCAAGAGTTTTAGCTATTTGTTGTAGCGCCATCTGTTTAGCTGTTACCCATGTCTGTAATAACGGCATACGAACAGATATATTGACAACATCCTGGTTGTTATCGCCATTGGTTACCATCATACCATATTCACATACCTAAATAAACAAAACATTGAAAAAAGTTCAGATATATTGACAACTGTGGATATTTTCATACTAAAAAATATTTAATCTGCCATCTTGAAAAACAAAGACGAATGTTTTTCAAATCCATGATAGCAATCTATTATCGAGTTTCGGGACTGTTATCCTAGTCTAATACCAAACATTACTGTGACGATGTACGCCAAGAAAAATTAGCCAATAATATTAATTAATGTAAAATAAACAGTTTATAAATGTAGGACTAATTTGATTATTAATCCAAGTTTTGTTCTTTATTCATATGATAATATGTTGAATGGGGGTTATGTTTTTAAATAAAGAAATAAACAAGCTAAGAAATATCGACAAATATTTCAATTGGAATAGTGCAAATAGTTTTGTTTTGGACGATAGCGCGCGAGTCGAGTGCTATTATTTAGCAGACAATGTCACTCGGCATTGTGAAGTGAGGGTTACCGACAAAAACATTTTTGGGATGTCAGTTTTTTTACCTTCATCCGTATATAAAAATCGAAGTGAAGTATAAGACGAACGCTGGACTCGTACGGAAAAAAGTATCGACTTAGAGCCCGAAAAATACTGTAATCAATATTCCCATGTACCAAGTTATATAGGATGAAATATAAAACTTGCCTCTATGGCTTTCTTTAAATCTGGTAGAGCATCAGGACTTATAGTCACTGTTACACCAGCTTTACTTTTAGCCGTTCCTACTGTAGTCCTTGCAGCTTTCTTATCTTTAACTGGTGATTTATCTCCAGGAGAAGGGGAGACTGGTGGTTCCTGGATTTCTTTAGGAACTGGTGGAGGTATCCAGGGTTGTATGAGACTGTACGCCAGGGCATTACATATATTCACCAACATGACGGTTTCACTGGAAACAGAAACATTTAATTCAGATAACATTGAGGGAATTTATGACATCCACTCTGCTCAGATCATTTAAATTTGGAAAATTCAGACCAAGACTTCAAATTGTACTTATATTACATTCTCAAGAGAATCTAGACACATAGCATTAAAATATCACTGTACAATCTTTATACAAAACAAATAAAAGCTTAGGACACACTATGTCCAAATGATTCGCATAAAAATTCACCTTGTGTGTCCTCTTGCAAGATGAAAAAAAAAAAGAAAAACCGTACCTCTTGTGTGCAGCACAGATGCAGGTTACATTCTTTTGTTTCAAACAATATTTTTATTCAGATTATTCTAACAAAGACTTGTGGAAGAGACTTAGCTTTTATTTTTTGTAAAAAACTCTAAATGTTCAAACATAATTCTATTTTTGCAAACGGTCAAGAACAACTTCACAAAGGTTGATGCCCAAAGATAATAATAATAACATGATATATTAATAACGATACACATTTCATCAATTCACATAACCAAGAAAAGAACTAAAACATATCTTTTGGTTATTCTTGATGTCCATAACTTGTTCTCAAACAGTCAAGAACATACTTTTGAAAATAATTCCAGTGTCTATTAATTATAGAATCACTTACCCAGCATGTCCGACTTTCTTCAATCCGTCTAAAACAACACCCAATGTATCGAGAATCTCACGATGTCTGTTCTCAGATAAAACATGGTTGTTATAATTCCACACATAGGCGGCAGCACTACACACTAACCATGCTTCCTCTAATATAACTCCTAATTCTAGACCTCGTAAAAAACTCTTGGTTGATGTCTCTGATAACATCTTTATCCAGTCACTGGAACCAAAGAAAATAATCCTTTTACTCAAACAAAGATACAAATTAAACATACATTATGCAAGAGCTAAATCTGAAATGTACTATTAATCAAACATTTATTATTAAAACAAGGCCATAATCAACTCTCGATTAGAATGGTTCACCATTTAAAAAAGATTGATAATTGAAAATATCTGAATATGGTCATCAGAATACTTACCAATATTCTAACCAATCAGGATCCTCTTCTGGTTTCTTAGCAACATAACCTTTAGGTCGTTTACGAGTATCTTCTGGTGGAATAGGTTTATTATTCAACTCCACTTTCTCGGATCTCAGTAAATGTATATAAGCCTGTTAATACATTAAGTAATTACAATGAAATTGAATTATAGAGTTTAACATTTAAAACTTAAAAAAAATTGACTACCCCTGGTTCCTTGAAGAAAATTAGTGAAAGAGAGAGAAATGGGGTTTAACGTCCACTCGACAGAAACTAGGTCATTTCGGGACTAACATATGGTTAATTTTATTTCATTAATTCGCTTGTGCGTAGGGGTCTTTAGCAGTGGGAGGAAACCGGAGGACCCGGAGAAAACCCACGAGGATGGACAGGCGAACCTACTCCTTGTTACGTACAACCGTGGATTTGAAACCACGTCAGTTGACTCAATGACAGGCCGTATGATACAGCACGCACGTGCTAACCATTCGGCCATCCAACCCCCCTTGATGAAAATTAGAGAAAAGTGATATAGTCTGCCTCAAACCGTTCAAGATATGTGAATAGCTTTCTGATTAATAGAACTATTCTGTGTGTGCAACAGCTGCGCATGTGACTGGGCACTGGGGGCGTTTAAAGAGCCCTAGTATCAACTGGTCTTAAGGGCTAAAGGGTTGGTTAACATCTCAATAAGCGCATAGTGAGAAGGTGAATCACGATACATCGTGCCAGCACTATCCCATAGTATTTCTAACTTGCTGAGATGTTCTAATCAACAGACATAAAAATGAAATTGAATTCTTACCTCTCCAAATATAAAGTTAACTTCTGCTAGAATACGTAGTAAATCTTTATTATATAGTGGTACGGTAGGTTCTGGAGTGGCAGGATGACTACTAATACGACTCGATTTCTTTTCTGACTCCGACCCGGGAGGTGCGTCTTCTTTTACTTCTCTAGATTCAACTTTCTTCTCAACACTGATTGGTCTATAAAAACAGGAATGAAATGAAATGAAATGGGTTTAACGTCCTACTGTTCTGCTCCGAACTGGGCTAATATGCCATACAGTATGCTATGAGGGAAATTTTGCCCGGACAGCGCCTGTGTAAATAGCACTAATTTCTTTCAAGTTCATTTAATATCAAATCTTTGTTTAAAATTCATAAAAATCCTTTAAAATCACTCAAAATCATATTGACATTGAATGAATGTGAAAGAAATTAGTGCTAAATACACAAGATTAAATGATACCTGGACTACAGTGCAATGTTTTTGAAACATTCCCAATGATTACAATAATTCCAAGTTTTACCTTTCTACTGGAATATTCTTCCATCTATCATCATCATAGAGCAGAGTGAACTTAGCGGCAACACGACAAACATCCCATACTTCATATTTCCTCGCTGTTTTAGCCAAATCAGCCCACAGTCTCGCTCTACAGAAAAAAACAATTACATATTGAAGATGAGAAACCTATCAACATTCCGGACTCATTATGAGAAAATGACCAAGTCATATTACTGACTTTCTTATAGTTCTAGAAGTTCAAACCAAAATGTAACAATGGATATAAAAATAATAACTCTAACCTTTCTCGATCATTTTCGTCACCTAATCGTTTTAAATGTCCTTCAGCTTTTTTCAGACATTTATTAAATTGTTGAGCTTTAGCTGCCAGTTTTCTGATGACTGTTTGTGGACCTTTACCACTTGTATCTGAAAATCAAAACAAAAAATTCATTTATTCATCCACAAAAGAAGAATGTTAAAACCAATTTCATGTCATTTCATTTATTCAAATTCTACTGATTTGTCAACCAATAGTATCTGCACAAAATATTTTTACATCTGTAAACTTAAAATTGTTTTAAGATAATTGTGGAACAACCTGTTTCTCTTGTCTGATAAACTATATTGACAAATAAAAACAAGTCATGCAAGCCTTTTTAAATGATGTGGCTGTACCTGAACAAGAAAATGTTTCTTTTATACGGCCTAAAATTTGTGCGTACATAAATTTCTTTTGAGCTTAAAGAGTGTTACAATATGCAGTGAGAAATATCTCTATCTCCAAAAAAAACTCTGTGATAGGGGTAATAACTGTTTACAAAAAATCAATGTCTCGGAGTAAAAAAGATAAAACTGTATAAACTAAATCTGTTGCAGTTGTTCATGAAATATCATTGTCCATTGAAGGCTTTGTTTTACAACAATGTCAACGACATAATAAATGTTAATTCTACCTCTAGTTTCACTTTCACTGTCTAAAACAAGTAGAAATGCATCAGGTGAAAGAGCTTCACCAGCTTTAACTAACAACGATCTCTTCATTCGGATTGTTCCTGAATCACAACTTCTAGCCTATAATAAAATTATTGATCACAGATTAATTACAATTCAATAAAGTTTTGTCATAAAAACAAAACAAATCAAACCAAAGAATTGTTCAAATTATTCTATTTTTGGATAACAAATGTGTGAAGATCTGAAAGAAATGCCAAATGAATTGATAAGAACTGACACTTTGATCCGCTTTTACCCTTGGATGAACTGAATTCATCGTAACCAGTGTTCCTTTGATGGCTCCAAACTGTGGTTTCCCCTATCCAGTCCTATACCACAATGAGCTACTCTCATAACTTAGAGAGTTTGAGGTGGTCTATTAACAGTAGTTGCTCCCAAAGAAAATAGCCATGGTGTGCATAAGAGATGTTCCATTCCAAACCATTTCAAAAAGCATCAAATTTAAATGCCTTATATTTTCGTTTGGAACAGATCTGAATCTTAAATATTGAATACAATATTTATTGTTCGATTCTGACCTGAATCCAGACAGAACCCAACTCTAATATTTGTTAAATGCCCCCCCATAAGTTTTGTTCATATCAGATTCAATGTAATTCAGTTTGGATTCACCCTTTAATCATTCCGCGAGTAGTTTATACCGAGATCTAACATACATCTCCAGTGTGAACAGATGGGTGTGGTCAGGTTTGGAAAGATCAATTTACAACTTTGTTTTATGCTGATCTCCTATCAACAACAACTAAATGTTTCAACAATATCTACCTGTTCAATAATCATTGCTGCCTGATCTTCTGGTCGTTCTGGTTGTTTATATAATTCAGATCGTAATTCTAAACGATGTAGTACCACCTCTAACCTTTCTTTATAAACATTACCATCATCTAATAATAAAGCCTGAAAACAAAGTTATAGAAACGATGACACATACAATTAAACTGATACAGGTAGACCCAATCATCAACCAATATCCACTGCCGTTGTATACTAAACTGTCCAATTTGTTTCTATGACAACACAAAAATATTCAGCAATTCAAAAATCTGGGTTGAAATGATTAAAACTATAAATGGTAGAACATCATATTTTTGGTCATTATATTGTTGTGTTGTTCTGTACTTGATAAAAAAAAGACAGGGGAGGGCTATGTAAAGCAGTCAGATCTCTGGATTTTCAGGTAGATAGTCTCGGTTTCAAATCCTAGCGAGGGCCAAGAATAACCATCAGCATTAACTTTATTGAGAAATGAAATGGTATCTTCTGGAGAAAACACATGAGATTCGAATCCCTGAAATATTGATGATTGATGACAGACTGTGTGCTTTACATTTCACTTGATAGACCATCCAAACATCCAACCCCCCTTAGACACAAGCACTACCCTATAATACTGTTGGGAACCATACTGACACCTGCCTTATACCGATCAGTACAATAATGAGTTCCAGTGCAACATTGTCTCATAATCTTACCTTTTTCAAATGTTGCATGGCAACTTGTATTTGTTCATTATCTTCTTCACAATGTGCTAATTCTGTATGTATTTGACATCTAAGCTGTATTAATAAACTGTAATGAAAGATAATTTCTCTAAATACATCTGTTAACCTTAGATTAGATTAATTAGTCCCTATTACACAGAGAGAGTGAGTCAAATGAATCCAAATCTAACTATTGTAAAGGATTCAGGTATTTGGACTCCTGTATTGTGCATTCATCAGTCATACACAGAAACAAGGTTCTGGAGAAATCCAGCATGATAAGAATTATCTGATCTTAAAATACAGATGTGACATCATCCTTTGATGTTGGAGTACCATTATTTCAAATAATCGTACGGGCAATGTGCCAAGCGTAACTTGGTAAAATAATGAACTCGAGTGACGTATTTCATTGCAAAGCACGTGCAAGTGTCTGTATTTTAAGTTGTTTAATGGTCTCGAACTTAAGACGGCCCTCATGTTGTTACAATATATTACTTAATGTCTCGATCTCGACTATTAAACAATAGTTAATTTCGACTCTATGACATCATAGCTAGTTCATCAGGTTTAACTTTCTACTTACACGCAGGGTCATATGGCAGACAAGTGTGTGTTCTTGAATATCCAGTGTAAGTTTAGGGATAGAGGTGTGGATAAGAAATTTTACCGCCTTCATTTCTTTGATTAAAGGCATTTCAATGAAAGTCTGGTTTATATAATGTTCTAAAAACATGTGTTATTTAATAATGGTTACAGAGAGAGAAAGAGAAATGGGGTTTAACGTCCACTCGACACAAACTAGGCAATATTTATTTCAATAATTCACTTTGTGTGTAGAGGTCTTTAGCAGTGGAAGAGAAAAGGAGGAAACAGAGAAAATCAACGAGGTTGGACAGGAGACCCTACTCCTTGTCACGTACAAGTGGGGAATCAAAATCACGCCATTTGACTCAATGACAGATTTTATTATGAAACTCACACGCATTAACCATTCAACCTCTCTTAATAATGGCTACAGTCGCAAGGATGTGTTGACAAAATGTATAGGTTTTTCTGAAACCCAACAGTTCGTGCTGTCTTTCATTAAATCTTTAGATAAATATTGGTGGGATGTGTCAGACCACATTTTAACAAAAAACTGACAGGTTACCTTTGAATTTCTTCGAGTGCCTCTGCAATGATGATCAAATGTTTACGAATATGTTGTCGTAAGTTAGCCTGTTGTAATGGTAGAGATAAATTCCACTGGGTGACACAGCCTACTTGTATAATGTTTGGATCACCAAGACGTATAGCATTTAAAATGGCTTCTTCACATCTCTTCATTGCTTGCATTCTTGCCTGGTGTATAAGAAAATAAAAGAAATAAAACAGAAAAATATGAAAATTATTTGAGTCTATCATACTGATCAGAAGCATTTTAATATTTACAATTGGACAAATAATCTACAATTTAAAACCGAAATCATTGGCCTAGAGAGAGAGAGAGAGAGAGACAGAGAGAGAGAGAGAGAGATGGGGTTTAACTTCTCGATACAAACTAGGTCATTTTGGGACTAACACACATGTTTTTGTTTAATATTGGAATGATAAAATTACTATTAAATTTAGGCTTTGAAAGATTAAGTGGAAATCAGTGCTAATTTTAGTTTCAATTTTGGCTAACACCATTAACAGTGAATCAGTACTAATTTTAGTTTCGGTTTTGGCTAACACTGTTAACAGTGAAACACAACGGGCATGCTCTATTGTCAGTCTGGGACATCTCGCATTGACAGAATTGCAATCAAGTGACGCAGAATTCAGTCCTGTCACAGTTCTGTCAGTCCCGAAAACAGAGGTTGTGTAAGTAGAATTGTGACGTACGACAATTATGTTTCAGTTGATATGGTTGACTGAGATATTTACTTATGCAGTCGGCGCCTGCATTTTTGCCAGAAATCCCCTTATTAACTCAATTGTCGCTAATTTTAGGACATTCAGTAGGGTATCCCCAAAATCAGTTATATCTCGACATCAGCTTTATCTAAGATTTTAATTGTACACATATATTTAACAATCTAAAACAAACACATCGTATTTAATTAAACATAATTATATATCCCTTTAAACCCAAATCATATCACCATTAGAGAGAGAGAGAGAGAAATGGGGTTTAACGTCCACTTGACACAAACTACGTCATTTCGGGATTAACACATGGTTTAACTTTATTTCAATAATTCACATGCGCGTAGGGGTCTTTAGCAGTTGGAGGAAAACGGAGGACCCAGAGTCATCCAACCCTACATATCACCATCAGAAATTAAGAGAATTAACTGCCTTCTGCACTTACATCTACAACTGGTTTTTGATATGATTCTTGTTTTTCACCTAAACTTTTTACAGCCATCGCACAATCTAAAAACTCCAACTCTAAATAAAACTTCTGATCCTGTCAATCAACAAAATTATATTAACATTTATGAATTTTAATGGTTGTCACATATATTCACACATTTTAGAAATGTTTTCAACAAGTGAGACAAGCTCCCCAACACAAAGAATCATATTAAGGATTCATTAAAAAATTGTTTACTGTTTAAAAGTAATTCAAGCCTTCATATATATGCCACACATAGGGATCCTTGCTTGTGAGTCCAGATATTATGAATTGACAATGTCGAGTCACACAGAATTGAATTGTGTCAGTTCCGATAGCGAGTAAATCATGTCTCAGTTGAGAAGATTGGTTAAGAAATTTTTTTGTTCACTTTGCACATGCTTTGTCATGTAAGATCCTTGTACTTCCTTGATTCCCACTCTTCGTGACGATGAGAAAATTCTATTCAATGGAATGTTCAATCAATTATCCCCTTAATTTCACCAGAAGGTTTTTTTACTCGATATATACATAGAATTCTTTACAACATAATAGACATCCTACCTTAATATTACATAGTTTCATATTTTCAGCACAAATTTCGGCTAAATCAGCAAAATCTAATTCCAGACAGAGTCGAGCCAGTTCTAATAATAAAGATAGCCTGAAATTAACAATAATTAAAATATCAATAAATATCACTGAGAACAAACCGGGAATGAAATGTAAAAACATCAGGCATGAAATCAACACAAATTTTATTGAGCAGAAGAAATTTCTCCTGGACCAAATCAGTTGGCAGGACTACATTTGAATTTATAGACAGACCAATCTGTCTACATTCCTTTCATTGACACTTATTTTCCAGTATTTCACTAGGCCTATTTCTTTTCTGTTATTTCACAAGGCCTATATCTTTTCTGTTATTTCCCAAGGCCTAATGTCAAATAGCAATGCCACCTTTCATGAAAGAGATTCCTCCCCTTTCTCCTTTATTGGAGTCTCCGGGAGTTATCTCCCATATGTGGAATCTTTTGTACTTAGAGAGGTTGAATAAAACATGGCCTATCTCACATGTAGATTTTAGATTCAATACTTTTTAATCCATGACATCCATGGTGAACCAAAGAACTACCTCCAGAGAGCACTAATTATTTCTTCTTATTTCACCAGACCTATCCGTGATAACCTTATCCTTGAATAACTTATTACCAACACATTTTATATACTACATTCAAGATGCATAAAATCTTGTGGTTTTCCTTTGACAGTGATACAGGACGGAGGGCCTGACAAGGACAGCTGTCTAGCCGTTCGGATGTGACGAAAAAACTGAGGTCCCATGTACACATTGGCGTGCACGTAGCCCTTGGAAGTTGGAATTCGATATAAGGGTAGGCCGTAGCGCTGCTGCCCGGGCAAAATTTCCCTCATAGCACACTGTAGGACGTTAAACCCCATTTCATTTCCTTTCATGTGTAGAATCTAAAATTTTATACTAATATTTGTGATTGTCGTTTGTTTGTTTGTCTGTCTCATTATGGTTGGCAGCTACACTAGGGGTGTCCCGAGTCTGAAATTTGGTATATTGGGGTAGCTTGGACTGGGGAGTAACATAGGCATGTTGGTGATGGCCTACAACTTCCAGAGTGACGTTACTTCCTGTTCATGACTATTAACTGAAGCTAGTAAAATATATAAACTAAATTGTATTAAAACAGTGTTAAAACTTACTTATCCGGACTATCTACAGAAAGTTTTTTAGAACTGGTTGGTGTCGGTGTTCTTCTACCAGTTTTACTTCCACTTCTTCTAAAATAAAAACAAATATTTGTCATGTTATAACCATTGTCAATTGTATGTTGGAGTGATTGATATCTGTCCAGGAATGAAATGACATCCTACTATGTATTGCTCTGACTGGGCTAATGAAGACTGGCATACACCATACAGTGTGCTACGAGGGAAATTTTGCCCGGACAGCGGCGCTACGGTCTATTCTTATATATTGAATTCTAACTGCCAAGGGATCTATTAAATGCACGCCAATGTCATCCCATCCGAACAACTAGACAGCTGTCCTTGTCAGGCCCTCCTTCCTGCATATCGAGGAATGACTGAGGTGACATGGGGCAGGGTGGTCTGTGGCAGAGACTGAGAGAAAGAGATTTAACAATCGAAGAAATAAAAATATTTAAAAGATGTTACAATGGGAATCAGATGAAGAAATCATGGATGTGAATGTCAAATCAGGCCAGGTCATCCATTTGTGGTAGTCAAAGCTACACAGAGATAAAAAAAATGATTTTTATTTTACTGCTTAAACATACATGCAAGAGCTAAATCTGTCTATTGCAGGTCTTTCTTTAGGCCTGAAATGTTATCTAAACTATTAATTAGACATTAATTAACCTATCCAGACCATAATCAACTCTAGATGGTAGATCAATTTGAATGAAATTTTCAGCAAATTGCCTTTACACTTAACTAGTTTTTAACTATTATAGTGAGAACTGCCAACTCGTTATCAAATCTCCCATAATGTATCTTTAATAATAACTTACTTGGCTCAGTTAGTAACACACATTGGCTCACTAACATGGAGGTCCGTGTTTGATCCATGTGTTGCCCCAGAAATTTCATCAGAACTTTCCAGCGTGGTTCCCCCCCCCCCCTGTCAGTGATGCAGGACCGTGGGTCTGGCAAGGGACGACATATAGTCGTTTAGGTCGGACGCAAAACCGAAGTCCTGTGTACAAATTGGCATGCACATAAAAGAACCTATAATTGTTGGTTCTCAATATAAGAGTAGGCTGTAGTGGAACTGTCCAGGCCAAATTTCTCTCATAGCACACTGTATGGCGTCTTCATTAGCCCAGTTGGAGCAAAACAGTACAACGCTAAACCCCATTTCATTTCAATTCATTTCTTTATTTTACTTTTAAAGTCTCTAACTCAATATCATTCAAAATTTTCGACAGTGAAAACACGAATTATTTGTCAATTTAAATCAACATTGATGTTGTGATCTTACCGGGTAAAGATGGGATTCTGATATCCAATATTTAAGTCAAAATAAACATTTCACGAATCTTGTACCATAATGCGTTTCAGCACCATTTGTAATAAGGGACTCGAAAAAAAGGCTAGGCATTTTCCACTAGTCATGTCAAACAGTGACGTCATATTTGTATCTGAAGAGCATGCGCAATAAATACTATGGGTGTAGACTGGAATAACCAGACGCTAGAGATTGGCATTCGATTGAAACTTCTGGCGTATTTCGCCGAACATAACTGATGATAAATTACAGTAAAAACAGAAACGATTGAATGTAAATCAGTTTATATACATTCATATTACATTATTATATGCATTGTGATCCATTTGTGGCAATTTCTAGGTCCCAAATATTAGAGATTTAGCCCCTTTAACCCTTAACCAGTCAACATCATTTTGAGGTTATGACGTCAAGTGGTCAGGCTAAATAAAGGCTGATGTGAAATATTTTGTATGCCTATTTCAATCGACTACTGCCGAATAATTATAAGTGATAGACTCTTGACACAAATAAAAAAGTTTCATTAGAAATATCGTCTTCAGAATCGCTATCATCGATATAATCCGATTCGGAATAATTCATAACTATCTCAACCACTTCGAGCGTCTTTAACATTCCCGACACCATTAAATTACGTTTTTCGTCAAAAAATGTTGAACAAAGACATGTTTTTCTCAATGCCCTTGACAAGACAAGTTCCTGTCTGACACGCATGCATGGCCATATCAATTAAATACGAAACTAAATACTCAAATGCGGCTTATAGAAAAGGTTCTTGCTGTGGTCAACTATAGTCGACCGTGACCACTTAGCTGTATAACGTTGTGGTGACTATAGTCGACAATGACAGGTTAAGGGTTAAATAATAACTTACTTGGATGTAGTTGTCTCCTCTTCTTTACCAGTTTGTGTTGATGTTAAATTACTAACACTCGGTGAATTATCGCGGGCTGATAATTTAGAATCTTTACGTGAGATTCTATCTATGGTTGTTGTTGAGGATGCTGGGATATTAGCAACACCAATCTGATTTAATATACCCTGTATCTCGCTGTAATACTCTTTCTGTTCTTTTAGTTCTAGAGATCTACAAAATAAAATATAATAAATGATCATCTTAAAAAGATAACAATGAAATGAAATGAAATGGGGTTTAATGTCCTACTGTTTTGCTCCGACCTGGGCTAATGAAGATGGGCATTCACCATAGAGTGTGCTATGAGGGAAATTTTGCCAGGACAGCGGCACTACGGCCTACTCTTTTATCGAATTCCAACTGTCAAGGGATCTTTTACGTGCACGCCACTGTGTACATGAGACCTCAGTTTTTCGTACCATCCGAATGACTAGACGGCTGTCCTTGTCAGACCCTCTGTCCTGCATCACTGACAAAGGGGAACCACGCCAAAAATCTGGATGAACTTTCTCAGCCAATGCAGGGATCAAACACCCGACCTCCAGGCTAGCAAGCCAGCATCTTACTCACTAAGCCACCGTTGCTGATTGTGTTCTGCCCTTGAGCAAAATTTCTTCTAAATTTCATGCATTCTTTTTTTTTATTATATAAGAGAACACCTTTTTCATGTGGTCATATCACTATTTCCACTAAAAAAAAAGGTTATTTCCCACATATACCAGCATATATAATGAGACCTGTTTATTTATATATTATAGTGAGCTAGGCTATAATCATGAGAAGACTAAATCCGAACACAGACGATGGAACATTTTAGCCGAACATGCAGGAAAACATTGTTCCAATCAATCTGTTCGCTGTCTGTGGATCATGTTCACCGTCTGCGGACCGTTCATCATCTGTGAACAACAAAAATCAAAAATAATTTGTTTGCGTTCAGCTTAATACAATATTTATATTCTAGTAAGTCATTAAAATAAATTTAATCAAATATACTTACAGCTTTAATTTACATATTTTATAATAAACCGAGAGTTCAGGAGAATTTTTAATATCTTTATGAAGTTTAGACGATTCTACCAGTTGATTGTTTACCTGAAAATAGACAAGGTAGACATTTAAACATTTTGATGCATGAGAGAGTGAGAGAAATGGAGTTTAATGTCCACTCGATACAAACTAGGTATTTCACGACTAACATATGGTTCAATTTTTTTTTAATTAAGCTTATTCCCTTGTGTGTAGGGGTCCTATCACTGATAAGACGGGGAACCGAGAAATTGTGATTTCACGCGCACATGTTAAACCACTAGACCACCCATTGCCCCAATTTTGATGAGTAGAGGAATAGTTTAAGAATTCAAGAATTAAACAATGCAAAGCAGAAATAAGTCCTGAAATTTTTTTTAGTTATACCTGCATGACAAGATGCCTCTGTCATAGACAAAAGTGAATATAATCAAACAAAACGATTGAAGCTGGGCTTAAAAAGAGGGTCCGATAATCCAATAAGAATGCACCTAACCTATGTTTTACAAAAATATCATTGTGACTAAAATAGTAAGTACAGGGTGAACACACCACACACAAACAATTACACAAGATAAACCTACAGACAGGACACAAAATACAGACACCATAAACAACAAACGTACATACCAGATCAAGTGAATGGAGCCGAGGG